TTCAGAAGATTAAGCCTCTTTTAAATAGATTGAAGTATATAAGAAATTTAGTTAAATTCTGTGACTCATGAGTGATGTTATTCCCCTGAAATACACAAAGTACAATGCGAAAGGTCTTTCCTGGAAGTTAAGCAGTACCAATTATTGGCGTTTGAAATTGTTGAAAGGATTATTAATCATCAGAGTTTGAATATTAGATAAATGTGGACGAAGCTCACTTTTAAATAGTGAAATCAAATTATTGAATAGGGCTCCAACGATTGTGATATATATTACAACTCTAAAATGACCTGTAATCGTACCAGGATGTTTTGATTAAAGTGTGGGAGGAATATCAAATTGTTACCAATGTAATGTAAGTATCTTTCGTTGTTGTATTACTAATACAAAAATGAAATTTAAGTTTATATTATTAGTGCAAAAATTCAGAGAGCCCTTAATAAACACATATAGGGAAGTTAAGTATTCAATATTTTTGTAATGGAGCATTGTATTTTTTTAATTTTCGGCCTGGTTATTATTATTAAGAAATTGTCAGCACAGGAATTTAAAATAGAGTTCATTATAGTTGAGTATGGTATAGTAGAGTACACATGAATATCATCGTGATAAACCATCACATCTCATTCCTTCTCATCCCCGAGATGAAACAGAAAGATGCTATGAGTATCAGAATGCATGAATATAGTATAACACTGTTTCAAGCATTTCAGTTTCCAAACATATCTGTAGTACATGTATATATTTCAGAGATAATGTATCTTACCTTATAGATAATGTATCTTACCTTATATATTTTCTAACATTTTACTACTTATTGTAAATAAAAATTCAGTGATCTCCCAGTATATCTAAATGGGTGCTGCAGTTATTTTACACTTTCTTAAAAATGAGAAAAATTAAGTAAAAAAAGCAAGAAAAATTTGCATATTTTGACTAATTTTGAGTTCTGAATTTTGACATCTTTGAGGAAAGAAATGTAGGACTCAATTATTTATATATAACCTGATGTTTAATCTGAACAGCAGGCTATTAACAGAAGTTATGGAATTTGGGAAATCTCTTCAGGATGAGTAAACTAATACAGGAAATATTATAATGACCCAATGTGTTTGCCAAATCTGAAAATAATACTCTATGTTCTTGTTTCTTCAGCTCAATTTTTCTTGAATTTTCTCGTATTTTATTTTTTGCTGTTTATGTACAACTAAGAATATTAGCTCGATGTGTATGTAGTTTTTCAGTGTTTGTTCCTCTCATTTTGTTAAGTTTATTTTACATTTTAAAAAGTCGAGTCTGGATGATTTCATCTACTGGTCGTTTCTTAGTAGGAGTTGTTTCTATAAGTGAACCTGTTGTGTTTTGTTAGTATGCTGTTGGTGTATCATTGTTTTTTCCATATGTCTTTTACAACATATTTTACAACACAGGAATTCTGACAATACTACTCTATCTTACTTAGTCTATGAAACACTAAAAATGTAAAATAGGGATGTGTATATTCTTATCGATTTTAAGTTTCAATTGTTATGTATTATTACTTTGAAGCTGAGTTTCTAGAAGATTATTGCACATCTCCAGTTTCACATTTTTGGGTTCAAAATAAAATATGAAGACGAGGATGTATTTTCATACTTTTCCATGAAAGTTTCCTTGCATTGTCTTCTTTTAGTTAATTTGGTAAGAGGTCATTGTAGGCCAACAAGGAGTTTCTGAAAGTTAAAGAGAAAACAATAAAAGAACAGAATCAAGCTTTCAAAAAAATTAAATATACATTAGAACTTAACTGTTGATTCCTAGATCATTTTAAAAGATTGAACTTTCATAAGAATTTAAAAACAAAGTATAACACCAGCTCCTGCTTTTAAATATACAAATGTATTTGAATAGCAGACAAATAGAGATATTAGGTAAATACTACAGGTGTATCTACTAGATGTAAAACAACATATTGTTCATCTGATATATGATTCTTGTATAATTAGTACAGAGTAGTTTGGGATTCAGGCCATAATGAGGGATTCCTGTTCATAAGGCTACAGTAAGTTGATCTTTTGGTTCAGATTCCTATTCCCATTTAATTAATTAATGTCTATGCAAACCTCATATATACTATACAAACACACTTAAACCTGTAAAGTAACTTACATATAGCTGAAAAACTGACATGATAACAGTCAGTAAAAGATATAAGTAAGTTTTTTTTCTGGAACAGGGAAAGTGGACTACAGTAAGTCATTTCTCAATGAGGTACTTGATATACAATATGTTTACAAGTTCTAATTGTGGTCTAACTCATCAGATAGATTTGTAGCATTATATAACTGTTGAGCTATGTGGGAGAAAGATGCTGTAATACATCCAGGAATGTTACATGGTACATTCTCCCCCTTGTATGGACAACCAGTGTGAGAAATAGCCACTTAGCTCATAATACAGGCAAATATCTGAAAGTTGTACAAGTGAAGTGGTTTGTAAGGCATACCCAAAGCTCTGCGTGATGCAATTATATCTTATTGTATGGCTCTGCTCCAGTGATTTCTCCCAGGTTTTTCTCCCAATGCAACAAGCTTTGAAAGGTTGCAACATATAGCCAAAATTCCACACAGCACAACAAAAGCTTTGAAAGGTTATATGAAACAGCCAACACTCTATATGGTATAACCGAAGCTTTGAACAGTTGCAAGATAGAATCAAAGCTCTACACGGCACAATCAACGTTTTTTAAAAGGTTACAAGATATATCTAAAGCTCTACATGGCACAACCAAAGTTTTGAAAGATTGCAAGATGGAGCCATAGCTTTACATTACACAACCAAAGCTTTGAAATGTTGCAAGATGGAGCCATAGGTTTACACAACACAACCAAAGCTTTCAAAGGTTGCAAGATGGAGCCATAGCTTTATATTACACAAGCAAAGCTTTGAAAGGCGCAAGATATAACCAAAGCTCTACATAGCACAACCAAAGCTTTGAAAGGTTGCAAGATACAGCCAAAACTTCACACGGCACAACCAAAGCTTTAAAAGGTTGCAAGATACAGCCAAAACTTCACACGGCACAACCAAAGCTTTGAAAGGTTGCAAGATACAGCCAAAACTTCACACAGCACAACCAAAGCTTTGAATGGTTGCAAGAGATAGCCAAAGTTCCATATGGCACATCCAAAGCTTTGAAAGGTTGCAAGATATTAAAAGGGTACATTTCAGAGAAGCAATGAAAATAAGACCTGTTACTGTCTATCTGAAGCTTGGATAGGAGTGGGTTAGGAGAAATCTTTCTGAAGTACCCTGCATGCAGAGTCGAGTTATAAACTACTAAGACAAAGCTCTCGTTAAAGAAGCATAGTCAAATGAATGCAAATGGTATTCTGAGGAAAAGTTTATTAAAATTGTATTTTATTACCATTTTGTCCAATATTAGACAAAATGCTTCCTGGCAGCTAGGGTATATAGTGTTTTATATTTAATTTAAGTTTAAATGAAGTCTTTTGAAGAAGAATGGAGAAAATGTATTTGAAAATTGTATTGTTGAGTTATAAGTAGACATATTACATAGGGAGACTAGCATTCTCTTAGCCTAAATGGTAAAGTAAATTAGCTTGTTATCTTACTCTATGTACAAGTTGAGAACTAGAAACTCACACTATATTTCTGGTGATATTTGCTGCGAGCCTTTACTAAAATCTCACTCTGTTCTTGCTTTTCTACATCATTTCTCTCTAAATCATGTATGAAATTGCTGATTTTCTTGTATTTGTTTGCAATTTTGACTCTCAACTTCGCGCCTATGTGTTTAAATTCTTGATGTATCCATTCTTTTAATGATCTGGTTGTAAGCCATGACCACTGCGATATTGTATTGGCAGGTTCTCCTACTTATAGACATGTGCTTAGCAAGTATAAGGTCTAACTTCTATAAGTGTACTGAACATTGTTTTTGTTTCTTTGTATTCCAATACTCTACTGTTCAGGGATGCTGACCGATTATTAAGAGTCGTGGAAAAATCAAGTTAATTTCATTATGGTTTGAACCCCTCTTGATTTTTCTTTCACTGGAATATAAAATAGATCAACACTGTTCGCTAACGAAACAATACAATAATTTACCCCCTCCCTATAATGGAACGAACTTCATTATTGCACAGCTTTTTAGAATTCTTATTTCGATTTAGAAATGATGTTCAACAAACAAATGTAGGTGTGTTAGAATTGTGTTTTTAGCTCATTTTATTTTAAGAGGATGAGCTAATTTATGGTGAGGTTGAAACCAGTATTGAAAATAGCCCTCAGTCAAGTATATTGTGTGAAACATTTCTTCCTAAAATTGAACATTATCTATTTATGCATATCTATACAATTTAGAGTATTAACTAGATATTTGGATAAGCTAGTCTTGCCAGTTTTACTCTTATTTCCCGCAATTTCATGTTTAAACATTGCCTATTGTGATATTTCATTTTTGGGAAAATATTGTTTGGGTATCAGATTCCCAGTTACATACTACTGCAACTGGAGACTTTGAACAAATGTAGATCATATGCTGACATGTACAGCAAATGTTTAATTAGAGGCTTGTCTTTTTGTACTTAACATTGCTATATATGTATTATGTATTGAAATCAGATATGTTCCATATTTGAAAGAAATAAATCATTTTGATATCAGTTGATTATAAAAATGATAAAATCCCAGATTTATTTCAATTTTTAATTTTTGGGCATCATAAGAAGTCTTGCACCAAGCCCCTGAATTTTGAGTTTTCAGTTTTATATATGTTTGTTAGATTTAAATTTAAGGGAAGTATTGCTGAAAATAAATATTGTTTTAATTATGTGTTAACACGTTTGATGCATGTTATTTTAATAGATTACATAAAAATAACTATTGGACGTGCGAATCGACTGTGAAAATATTATTAAAACAATTAATGTACAGTTTTATGGTAAATATTAGTCTAAGGTCAGGTAATTTAAACCCATGTTGGTTTTTACTTTCAGGTGCTGTAAACGCTGTATAGATTTGACACATGAGAACAATTTGACCAGCCACTATGCCTGATGCAGTGTCAGGAGTTATATGATTCTCTAACCAGGAAATAGAAACATGGATCATAAAGGCCACAAAGCCACATTTCTTCACACCTCTCAGAATATATACTAGATCTGATGACAAAATGTGCTATAAATAGGATGAGGTCTGTCTATGTATCAGGATGCTCTTAATTTATTTTTGAAATTCGCGCTTGTGAACATGGAAGTTCATTTTTTCCTATTTCACGCTTGTTTATAATAAGCAGTTACCATAGCAACCATGGAACAAGAGGAGAAATATTTTAAAGATTAGTTTATGACTGATGGATTGTTGTTATACATCAAACATGTATGGATAAAATAACAGTTCAAGTTTGGATATCTAGCACTACATGTATGGATATATAGTCCAAAGACGAAGGGCTGTTCAATTTAAATGCGCAAAGGGCTGTTTGCATTGGATATATAACAAGTAAGGGCTGTTAAAAAATATAACAGAAAGTATTTGCAGGAAATATACTATAAATAGTATAAAATGGCGAAAAAGTTAGAATCGAAAGTGTTCAACGTGAGCATTGTTGGATTATCGGGTACAGAGGGCAACAAAGGAGTTCAGGGAGTCGGGAAATCATGCCTGTGTAACAGGTTCATGAGCCCACATGCTGATTCATATTATACAGACCATATCTCCGTGCTCAGTCAAACGGACTTTGGTGGTCGTATCGTCAACAATGACCACTTCCTTTACTGGGGTAGCGTAACTAAGACATCGGATGATGCCCTAGATTATACATTTCATGTCATAGAACAGACAGAGTTTGTCGATGACTCCAGTTTCCAGACATTCAAGAGTGGTAAACCGGACCCCTATATTAAACGCTGTATGGCTACCAAAGTGCAATCTGCCGAGAAGTTGATGTATATCTGTAAGAATCAACTAGGTAAGTTATGTTATGTAAGGGGAGCTATAAGGGCATCTGCCTCACATATCTGTTCCACTAGTAGGTTAAGTGAGAGTTTGTGACTTGTGCTAAGTTAGAGAACAGGGCGATGAGGATTGGGTGGGGAGACTAGGTTGCTTAATTGGTGTTTGCATTTTTGGGCTCACACAGTGAGCCTATGGGATCGACCAGGCATCCGTCCATCCGGACCTACGTCCGTCCATCCGTCTGTCCGTCTGTCCTTATCTTTACACCTAAAGAACTAATTCAAGTTAATCAAAATGAATGAACAAAGTCTACTTACTGCTAAATGTATTTTTTTGTTATTTGTTATGATTAAAAAGATTTTGGTAAAAATATCAATACCGTATATTTCACTTTTTTCAAAAGGGTAGCAACTAGCATGTAGTTTTTAAATCAGGGTACAGCATCTGGTTGCTAGGGAGATGACCAAAACATCTTAAAATATAGAGTTATATTAACCAGTATTGACTCATTGTAACTCTGCTGTTTTATTGCAGGTCTCGAACATGACTACAATCAGGTGTTGATGCCGGATGGGAAACTCTCAATCGATGGATTCATGTGTGTCTTTGACATTAGTCAGGTTCATCAACGTCGTCTTGAACACCAAGTTGAATTTTTCACTTTAATACTGAACAATCTCGTCAAAACAAAAAAGCCTATCGTGGTTGTCACGACAAAACATGACGAGGCAAATGATCAGTATATCAGAGAAGTTGAGCGAATTGTCGCTCGGAAAGAATATCGCAACAACATTCCTATCGTTGAGACATCGGCTCATGAAAACATCAATGTTGAGCTTGCATATATGACATTAGCTCATTTAATAGACAAATCCCTAAAAGGACAAAAAACAAAAATAGTGCCATACCAAGAAGCAGCCAAAGCCAGAAAGGAAGTTTTAGATGTCGCTCGTGATGCATATCAGCATCATTTGCGATCATTGGCGACAGATTATAATGCCACCTGGAGTTCGGTGCATAAACTATTTTTACAAAATCCAGATTACAATCATTATGTGGATTTATGTGGGACAGATTCTGCGAAGAAGTTATTCAGGAGACATGTGCGGCAACTAAGGGAGGACCATATCTCTATGAAAGAACGGAGGTATTTAGAGGGTCTCAAGACAGTTCTGGAGGACATGCTGCCAGATTTAGCAGCTATTGCTGACAGGTAGGTTACAGTACTGGCAGATTCGGGGGAGAGAAGTGGGGGTGGATCTGGGGTCTAGGGGCTCAGGTTCTTCTCTCCTATACTGACACTAAAAATGTTTTGTGGGAAGCTCCAGATAAGACAAATGTGGAAATGTAAGATTCTGGAGAAATTGTTGGTTTTGCATATATTATTATAATATCGATTAAAAACATACCTTAGCCTCTTCATGCGTCCATATCCAATACATTGATTCCCTGGTTTATCAACTATAAATGATCATGATTTTTAATCAATGTCAAATAATGTTGAATCACTGGTACCTCTCTTACCCAAGCCTGTTTATATGTACCGTTATCTACCAATAAATTTGTAAAAAATTGGTCTAAATACCACTAGGTGGATATCATTCAAAAATAAGTTGTCATGATTTCCAAGACCTTATAGTTGCCATGGGAACTGTGAAAATGGGAGCAAATATGAGGGTAAAAATACCATTTTTTACATTATTTTTGGTGGGATAAATTCATCAGACCAACTACTGAGTTGTCCACCATGATGACAATTTTACCTTAGAAATCTCACTCAAACAGGTAAAATTAGGACTTTATATTCGGAAAAATCCTATTTTGTTTCCACCTTCAGGAGCTGGCCAACTACTCAGGCTTATTTGAAGCGTCACGAATATTTTGATACTTACTTCATTGAGATGCCCCCTGATGTGATGTCATGGAAGGATGGTGACCATATAGAGAGTAACGACCCTAGGATACCATTCGATCTTCTGGACTCTAACGAGGCGGAGAATATATTCAGGAACCATATAAATGCTCTACATGCTGTTCAGAAACGCACAGAGTAAGTATTGTCCATTGACTTTTAAACGTTGATATTCGTCTGTTTCATACTGTAAGCAACAGACAATTTGTTCCAGTTCTTTTAATACAAAATGCTTGTCTTAAAAGGAATCTTGCAATTGTTTCTATGTTAGAATTTTAATTTCCAATGGTTTTGACTTGTTCACAATTGGCCCACTCCCTTCTGACCTAATTTATATGAAATGCCTGTTATATGATATTGAATATGTTTAATATATCACACATTGGAGCAGATGATATTTCTACTTTAGTACTGTATATATGATTTTGATACATTGTGTGAGACCATAATTATTAATGAACTTACTAACAAATGTATTTTCAGAATGAAACGTCAGTTTAAAGAAATGCTTGACAACAATCTCCAGGTGACCCCTGGGAAGCCCCTCAGCGAAGTACAAATCTTCTTTCTCGGACGGGAGTGTTGGAGTTTCCTTAGCGACCAAGAGAAGCATCTCATATACGACCAACATCAAGCAGAAATACGAGAGGATGCTAAAATTGACTTTCAGGAATTGTTACTCGAGCATGCTGAATTGTTTGCTAAGCTGGATCCCCATGGTGATATTTCCCCAGAGGATTTGAAAAGAATCAATTTTGAGTTGAAAGATGAACAAAGGTAAACGTCGTACCAAATGAGACCAATGTCACTATAGTTACCATACGACAGTGTTTTAAACTACGGGAACTTTCCTGTTCACCTCTTTATTATTTTATTAATAAGGTATTTTTTAATTTGTCTTTATTTTTACAATATTACTCTCTAAGCAGTTACATATATATATAATATGATAAAATATAATATGGTAAGTTTAGTAAACAAGACCTATTATGTTGTAGACATTCTAAAACAGAAATTGCATGAATTGGTAAAAACTAGCAATGTGAAAGCATTTAGTGAAAATTTCAGCAAGAAATCTGAAAAATCTAAATATTCGACAAGTGGTTGTACAGGTTGTCAAATTCCTTTAGACCTGTATTTCCAACATGACTTTGGTTGTTCTTTTCATTACAGATATAAGATTCTAAGTCGACTGGAGAATGAGCGCAAAGTGATGCTACTCAACCACTTAGGCTTCGTCCAGTACCCTTTTAGAGACAAGTGCCCTTTCCGGGAGTACTGTATGGAACAAATGGTAGAAAGACTTTTACTGAATAAGGCACATAGGTGAGTCGATTGGAAAAATCAATCTTTACTCTCGCCAGATTTACAATTTTTTGATTTAGCATGCATGTAATGATTTGAAGCAAGTTTTGAACTATCAGTATTTTAACCGGTTTTGGGAAATACTCTTTGTATTGTAAGATTTAAAACTAAGAGCCTTTTTTCCCGGAACTTATTCATCGATCTAGTGTATGGTAACTGCCTTTGACGCCTGGGTTTGAGCTGTTAGGGCTGAGCTGAAATTAACCTTGCTATGCGGTATATATAGTTAGCATAATACTAGAATGTTATTTTGCATCTTGATATCATATACTTAGGTTCTTTTTTGGTTCACTTGCAAAATTTTGTCTTGAAGTTATTTCTCAAAAGTAATGTATGTTTTTTGAAATTCAGTTGTTCTTTGTTCCTGACAAAAGTTGCATTTGTAAATACAAGTAATATTCACTTTTACACTGGGAAAGACAATTGAGTTTTAAGAATTGATATTCAATGCATCTTTGGGAAACAGTTCCCTGTGATCATAAAAAAATAATTTTATTGTTTGACAATGCATTTTGGTTTTTAGTGTTATTAAGAGGTGTAATGTATATAAATATTTCCCTGTTTTATGCTTGCTCCTAACAGACATTTCCATGTATGTATATTTAAAATCCAAAATTCTCTGAATTTTGTCGCGTCAATCCACATGCAATTTCTGAATTTCCAGCAAACTTGGTTCAGCAAGTGAAAGTGTGAAAATGGGTAAAACGTAAGTCAGTCGTTAAGAATCAAAATATTTTCTTTGCTTCTCAGCCTAAGAGGGTTATGTACAGAACAGTTTCACGAAGTTTTACAATTTGGGGTGCTGGAATTTAATATTTTAGTGCACAAAATTCTCGTAATATAAAAACCATGAATTTAGGCTGGAATTTAATATTTTAGTGCACAAAATTCTCATAGTATTAAAACTTTGAATTAAGGAATAAATTATAAAAACCTCCAATCTATTGTTGCATTTCGAGACACTGATCTGCCTCACACTGTTTTTATTCACATATTAAGGTTACCATGTTGATTTGCAAAATTTCATATGTTGCTTTGGGCTTTCTACTTTATAGCAGTTCATATAATAGTGCTTTCATGTCAGATGATAATTTTATTTTTTTTGTCGTTATCATGCTTCCAGTTTTGTGATTGGTCAGACACAGATCACATGACACGAAATATGAGATGATATTCATTGGTCGTGCAATATCACACTTTTTTTTATTTATCATGTTTTATTATCCCATCGAACGAAGTTCGGAGGGATATAGGGAACGCCTCCGTCCGTCCGTCTGTCCGTCCGTCCGTCCGTCCGGGCAATAACTCAAATACCGTTCGCCCGATTTTATTCATATTTTGTACACATATACCCTATGGGGGTAGAAGTACTGCTCGAAAGCCGATTTTTAAAATGGCCGCTCATTACAAAATGGCGGCCATTTTAGTGCCGAATTTATAGTAATTTAGGTGCAATATGTAAAACTGTAATAGCAATATGTTTTAGATGTAAAAAAATTGTATAGGACATTAATAAAGCTAGAAATGTAGATATTAAAAAAGCACATGGCAGCCATCTTGAAAAATGGCGGCCTTTACTCGTTATTTTACGATTTTTGCTGTAACTCGAAAAGTAGTGGAGCGATTTTGTTCATATTTGGTATGAGAATACTATAAACATTGCACACTGTCTAAACTAAAGACACTTTTGGTAGAAGGTGGCCATTTTAGAAAATGGCCGCCATTTTGAAAAATAGCCGCCATTTTAACCTATTTTACTATAACTCGAAAAGTAGTGGAGCGATTTTGTTCATATTTGGTATGTGAATACTATAAGCATGGCACACTGTCTAATGACACTTTTGGTAGAAGGCGGCCATTTTTCAAAATGGCCGCCATTTTAACGTATTTTGCTATAACTCGAAAAGTAGTGGAGCAATTTTTTTCATATTTGGTATGTATATACTAAAAGCATGACACACTGTCCTATGACACTTTTAGTAGAAGGTGGCCATTTTGAAAAAAAGTTTGAAAAATGGCCGCCATTTTAACATATTTTATAATGATTCGAAAAGTAGTGAAGCGATTTTGTTCATATTTGGTATGTGAATACTGTAAGCATGGCACACTGTCTAATGACACTTTTGGTAAAAGGCGGTCATTTTTCAAAATGGCCGCCATTTCAACGTATTTTACTATAACTCGAAAAGTAGTGGAGCGATTTTGTTCATATTTGGTATGTGAATACTATAAGTATGCCAAATGGTCTAATGACACTTTTGGTAGAAGGCGACCATTTTGAAAAATGCCTGCCATTTTTGCTTAATACTTTGTAAATATGCCATCCATGGCTGTTCGATGGGATTCGCTACGCTTTGGCGTTGCCGTTGTTCTGGTTTATACAATAATATATGTTAAAAGAAAATATCCAAAAAGGCGACTTTGTATAACATTATAAGTCACTATCACACTGTTGAGTGGGTGATACTTTTTGTGGATTTTATACAAATATGTAATCAACCAGGCAATGGAATTAACATGTTTAATTAGCATTTACTAAAAACTAAAATGATAAAGTAGAGTTCATGTTGATAAAGCATTTGTTAAGTATATCTTTTACATATTTTTCAACTTAATAAGACATCATCTTTGTACATATAGGCAAACCATGCCTCTATTAGAGCAATCAGATTTCCGCATTGGGAAATCTCTCAGAATGTCTATTGAAAATTAATACATAACAGTGCAGTCTGGGAAATCACATGCCAGTTAGATACCATGATATTCTGCTGGGGGAGGGGGGTGGTACATTGGCTTCATTGTTTTAAATGAAATTGTCACATTTCTTCATAGCATATTGGTGGTGTTAGGAATGCTTTGTTGTTGCAGCTTTACTGGTGGAGGGAGCAAGTGTGGCTTATGGAAACAGCACTTAATGCTTGGGATAAGATTGTAGTCTTACATCAAACCCCTTCTACCTCCTTTATCTTCCTTGAATTAATTAAGTGAAATAGAGTGTTGAATGGCATAAAGGAAGGGACATGATGGAAGACTATGTGCTTGGGGCAAGAACTACATGGCAAACTGCAATATATTTTTCAGTTATATTGATCATCAGGCACCTGTCTCCACTATCTGTAATCTCCCCTCTCCCTTTTGCCTTAGTCACATTTTATCTACGGCAACCATACAGCGTCCCCGGTTTTCCAAAATATTGAAAAATATGCGGCATAAAATATGGAGATAAGCAATACGATGTAGATTTTCCATATCGATTTTGTGAAACTACACCCACTGTAGAGCAAATATGACTGAGCCTTATTTTCTCCTTATTTTTTTCTGTTGTCATACTTCCTTTCTTTCCTTTTTTATTGTCCTCCCTCATCTTACCTCCATCCATTACAACCATATATTCCAACTGTATCTTCCACTGTATCTTCCGCTGCCTTATCTTCTCCCTTAACATTCCATCCCTTTTATCTTCCCCCATATTTTCTTCTTTTCCCCCTCAACATATCTTCCAACTTAAATATTATCCTCAAAAACACTGATTGATCAAATAGATATTAGGAGAGAGACATGATGACAAGACTGTTTCAGAACTCTTCAAACTTCCATAAGCAATGTGCGTAATTTGTTGATTTTGATTTGACTTCCATCGATCCGGAATTTCCATATAAACTTGTAACAGCAATACCAAAGTCAATGTTGGAACTCATGTTCACGATGTGTAAAAGATTTAAACATATTTAGACAGTATTTTTTCTGATATTTTCAGACCACAGTCATGGATAAGAGCCAGTCAGTGGTTGCTGGATTCACAAGATAACCAGCTTAACCTCAATATACTAGGCTGTGATGGGCTGGCTGATGAATTAACCAATGAGATTAGGGTAAATATTCACTCCTTATAGAATAACTAGAAAATTGAACCCATTTCAAAATTACTTCAACAAAGCTGAAATGGTAAGAGAATTTTGAAATGGTCAAAAAGACAGAGAAATTCTGATTTGTTCATATGAAAAACTTGAGTTTTTATTTAATGTGTAAAGTCAATTTTGTATGTGTCTGAAGACTTCACTTGCTTGGACGTGATTAGTACATAGTATGATGTATCCTTTTTACTGAATAATGCTTGAAATTTGCTGTTCACCAAAAAAAAAAAAAATTTTGGTCAGGGAAATGCCAGATAATTTCATCAGGAACTGTAATTCATCATTCTTATCAGTAACCATGCAGTTGGTTCCTTTAAGTTTTATATATATTTCAGTCACTGTTATAAGCTTCACTTTACATTTACAGTCCCATTGCATTGATGATGAATACAGTTTGGGAGGTGCAATATATAGTTTAGACTACAGACCAATAGATGGGGATGTCAATCTGCCCCATAATGCATTTCGATCAGAAGGATTTTTACCTCACGGTGAGTCTTAATTTGGTATTTTCAGTGATGAGAAATTAAATTGGCAATTAAAAAAAAGCAGAAGGAAAAATGCATGTTGAAGAATAGAAAGAATTGGGAGAATCTTGTTGTTTTTTCACATTTTGCAAAAAAGACGTCAGTCAAATCTCAATCTGAACTCAAAATTAAGGAAATGTATTGTTTTGTTTCAGGTTGTTTTTGTGTGTACTCTAATGAAGAAACGTTGAGCTATGTCCAGGAAAGTTTAGAGAAAACGTTACTCTCTGATCTTGAAAGGGAAGACCGACTGCCATTTCAGGGATTGCCGATTGTTATCATCCTGGCATTTGACTCGTCACTCTCTGATAAAGAGCTGACGGTGTTAAGAGAGGAAGGAGGGAACTTAGCAGATAGGTGAATAATTTTGATAATAATAATTTTTTTTATTTCCTTAGATTATTTGCTGTCAAAATTATATCTTTCATAAAGCTATACTATACTATAAGTTTGTTCTAGATTATTAGGGAAAAGTTTGTGTCAAGGCCTGATTTGAAATTCACAAATAGCTCGGCAAGGTGTGTCCAATTTCAGCCAATCAGGAAATGCTATTTCATGTACCTGCATTCCGTTATATAACCAATAATGAACTCAAGGTCACTCGTGCAAATTTTGTAAAGCAACACCTTTAATCCTTAAGGGACTGACTTATTTCCAAAAATCAGCATAAAATTCCATTAATAATCATCGCTGTCAAGTTCACTTACAGTGTCACTGTCCGATGATGATGAATCTGAAAATCCTGCACCATCACTGTCCTCTTCGCTATCGCTCGGGATTGTAACCTGGAAATCACATAATCCCCTTCTTGGGATATGTCTACATGTCTATACATTCATATTTGTTTATGTTTCAATTAAAATACACCTCAAAAACGATATTTTTCTGAAAATTTTTACTACGCATGCGCAAACTACAATGAACGAAAAACAAAATCTGAAAGTATAGGGGGGCGTGGTCCCGGGAACACGAAGATAGAGGCGGGAGATTCAAAAGTCGTAGAAAGTCGTATTTGGTCCCTTAACGGTTAAGGAATGGTCATTCCACATTGCACTCAGTCCAGAGCTTAAATCCTTAAGTAACCCACTTCAAAGCCACTGGCTTTAAATAGATCTATACTATATTATCAAAATATAAAATGTAAGTTTCCTCTGATGCAAGAGATGGGCTCTTAGGTTTGACGTGTTTGGCATTTCAAACGTCACCACCATGAAGCTGGCAGTAACAATTCTGTAATAATTGCAATCCTTTTGTATGCATTTCATTAACTAACCAACTAGTGACATTTTTTCATGTCATTGCCTTGTTTATATTTTTTATTTTTAATCAATCTTTTTTCAATTTCTAGGCTACAATGCCCGTTCATTGACATTCCGTCTCACCTCATGTTGGAAGAGTCTCAGAAGTTTGATGCGACACAGATTGATCATGCGTTACGGGACTTGATAGAGTGTATCAAGTATCGTGCAGAGTTTATCAACCCACTACAATTACAAGAAGCCATAGAACCAGATATTAGGTCTGTCATTAAACATAACATCAGATGGCAAAAAGATATATTATCCTAAACACACTTTTTACAAAATAATTTGTTTCTATATATTCATGTAATTTCAGTTACTTAATAGGTGACAAAGTTTTGTTGTCGGATAATATTTAACCTCTTGACTACCCAGTGACGAAATTTTTTAGAAATTACCTTGAAAGCCAGAGTGACGAGATAATCGGTCACAAAGTTTTACACTAAAATTGCTCTAATTTTTATCAAATTTACACAAAACACATTTTAAAATGTGCAAAAAATGATCTCTAACGACTTATTTCACTAAGTTGAGCATCACCCATTGTATATGTATTTAGTCAAATTAAATGTCAAACTGGAAAAAACTTCTCTGGTATTAAACTAATTTTAGAGCCTGGGACTCAAGAAGTTAACCTGCAATGAATACACATAGTGTACTCAATTTTTCCCCTTGCATTGAAAAAATATTTTGAATGTTATCCCATATATGTTTCCCTCTAAATGGTTTCATATGTGACCTACATCGAGTTGATAAAATGTTTTAGCTTTCCATGAAAATGTTATTAGACTGATTTCATAAACATATTTAATTTGTTTATTTTTTCAGAATTGTTATGTGTTGTATGTGTGGTGACAATTACAACTTAGAGACCCCTTTAGGACCCCTTCTAAATCATCAATGCTGTTATATCATCGGAGAAAGAACCCTGATCTTAGAGACATATTTAGATGACTCGAAACGTCGCGTTGAAGTGATTGTTACGTCATACCATCATGGTGCTACCATAGTCCAAGACAGCCTAGTCCATGGCTATATTTTGGTCTATTCATCAAAACGGAAAGCGTCTTTAGCAGCTGTCAAGTATGCAAACTTTTCATTTTGACAATCTTTGATCTTATCAGTTTGACTAAATGATTCAGCTGGTATTTGTGATCTTTGTGGGAAAAATTACATCCCTTTGGGTAATGTTGTGATGGCTTCTTTTTGTTCTTAAAGTTTCACTTCTTCATTTCATATCTTAAATTTCTATCTAATGGCATAAAGACTAAAATGTCAGCAGTTATGAATTGAAATGATATCAATAGTGATTTTTGTTAATTAAAGTCGTTACATTGTAAATTCCTACTTCTTAGGATTCATTATTTTATTAAATATTTTGATATTCTTCCACTTTACCACCTTCCCAAATACCCTTTTCTATTAAGTACCTCCCCATTTACCCTATCCCCCATTTACCCCCTCGCCATTTACACCTTCTCCTATTAATACCCAAAATACTCCCTAGATACCCCTTCACCTCCATTTACCACCTCTCTAAACAAAATTAACTACATCCTCCTATTACTCCTCTATTGATATTGAAGACCATGCCTACTGTTAATTTCATTTCAGGGCATTGATCACTACAACGCCTACAATCCCAATACAACTCCTGGCAGTAACTGAGTCAGGTGGTGCTAATGCCTTCTTCTCAAGTGACTACACACAGGCTCTCATTACAGAGGGGAACGCCCTTGCAGATAAACTTCATGCAAGGTTCATGACTACAAGTGCCAGCTTCAAGCAACAAAGTAGGATTTCATGTTGCAATTAATAATTAAAGGCAGAATCAGATCTATGGGGGTGACAAAATTACAAGCAACATGTCCAATTGACCTACCAATCTATTCCTTACAATCTCAAATACAATATCTCCCAAAAGATCTTCGATATATTATAAATTGGTGAAGTTATAATGGATTCAAGGTGCAAAAATTGGTGAAAAATGTTTAAATTCTCCCAAAATAATAAGAATGGTAACCATTCTTATAAGAAAAATAACACATTACTGAAAAAATCTTTAGTTTTCCTGAAATAAATTGTGCACTTTGGGAATTTTTAGAAAATAGACATGAAAAGGAATGACATAAGCCAGAAATATTTCAAAATTGAAACAATTTTTGTTAGGCTGCTCGCTATCTCTGATTCTCTCTTTAAGTTTAATGTTATAACTCATGTGCAAGATTGCAAGAAGTGGCAAAATAGGTTATTGTGTTTAAAACAGCATCTACAGATTAAATGAACACTCATTAAGGAGTTTCTTGGAAATAAATAGAGAAAATTATTGTCTGGAAATATTGAGGCAGTTATCTTAATATTATATAATGTATATTGTATAATGCACAATGTATAATATGTTGATGTATGTTTCAGCTGCCGCCTATACCCCATTCTTTAAAGAGGTTTGGGACAATAAAACGGACACAGAGGAAACGTTGGGTTATGGATATTCTGATGATGAACCTGACCCCTCAGACATGTATGAATTAGGCATGAGACCCCCTCCTGCCCTACCCAAGCTGCCCAAGAGGATTGACTCATATGGCGTAAACACACGTGGTAGTGCAAGTAACAGGTTGGTTTGAGAGAATTTTCTTCTTTCTCGTATGAGGGTTGCTCCAGAAGTTATGAACTAATAAAGTAATTTATTTTGAAATTCGGTGTATCAATCAGAGGTTGTCTCAACATCATACTAATGAAATATCAGCCTTGACTCATAGTTATAGAGCAGCTTACATAGTTACTAGGATAACTAACTGTATTCGAACAGTTAATCTGTGACCCTCCTTCCCTCAATTTTTATGTCACGACCAAAAAGTGGTGACACATTGTTATGGTCCCTGTTTTTTTTGTGACGGCGGTTGGTTGGCATCTTAAACAAATTCTTAAAACTTCCAATAACTTAACAAATACTGTTTAGACTGACTTCAGTTTTTTTTCAAAATCATCTACGTCATAAGTTTTCAGAAGTTCAAATCTGACTTTATATTTAAGATTTGACCTTCAGTGACCTTTTCAAGGTCAGAAAAGGTAAAAAAATTCTTTTTTTCAACTTGCTTCAAATTGATCAATTTTTTTTTCAAAATCATCTACAAGTTATCAGAAGTTGTTCAAATATGACTAGATTTGACATTTGACCTTCATTGTCCTTCTCAAGGTCAAAAAAAGATCAAAAAGGTATTTTTTCAACTTGCTTCAAATTAACCAATCTTTTTCAAAATCATCGAGAAGTTCTCAAAAGTTCAAATCCGACGATAGTTTTGACCTTCAATGACATTCTCAAGGTCAAAAAAATATTTGACCTTCAATGACCTTTTCAAGGTCAAAAAGGTCTTTTTTCAAATTGACCAATTTTTTTCAGAATCATCTATAAGTTCTCAGGAATTCAAATCTGACTTAAGATTGAACTAACAATAATTGTGAGCAACGAGGTGGTGGTAATTTCTGAAAATCTTTTGCATTGCTTCTAACTGTATGGAGAAAATGAGAATGTTTTACTATTTTCATTAATCTTTCTTCTTTTTCTAGTCAAAGTACGGAAGACTCTGAGCCTGTCTACGATCAACTACAACGTTATGTCCAGTCAGACAGCGATCATGAACATGACCGTGCAAGCTCCACCTCTCCAACCTTTTATGATAACACTAGTCCCTACGGAACTGTCAATCATGCTAATGATGCGTACAGTGACGTTACAACATCTCGCAATGGCGATCAACCACTTAGACCAAGCCAGGTTAAAAATCGGCGGAATATATATGCAGGTTTGTATCATTTATTAATATTTTCAAGAAGATTTTGGTGGTCATACTTTGAATGGAATTACAATGGAATAATAGAGAAATACCTACAAAAAAAGCAAAGTCTAGTTTCTTATTATCTGAGGAACAACATATTAAAATTGATTTAGATTAGACAATGATATAAAATCAGATGCCCTCTTTGAAACAAACTGACTTCTCACAGAAAATGTTAAGTCAAAGACTTAAAGCAAACTTATTACCCTGTCTCATGTAAAAGTTTGAAAATCCAACTTCTCTTATCTTATCTCTTACCTCTCTTATTATAAAATCTAGAGCCAATGGTAAGAAACTTTTTTGATCGGCCCTTGTATATGAAAAATATCAAAATACTTTATCAAAGATATGACCACCTTCTTAATACACTATACACTGGACATTTGTATAAAATGCACTTGGAATGAAATTCAGTTTTAGAGCTAACATTTGTGTGATCACAAGAAATAATTTTTGGTTGCTTTTGGGAATGAGACACGATCTTCTGTTAATACACTAAGCTAAAACAATTAATTATCTCACGTTTTCTCATTTCTTTCAACAAGCTTTTGAAGATCATAAACTATGTTGCAAACAGTACGTTGTTAATACTACTTCAGCAATACTAAACTTGTTATTTTAACCATTTTTAATTCATTAATGTTGCATGCAAACTTACAGAACAATATAGGAGATCATTCCCATTGGCTAGTGGTAGTTTCCCACTATCTAGTAGCACGTTTCTTGAGAGGGAAGAAGATGAAGCTAGCGTTGAAACGGCACCAAAAAGCGAATCAGACAAAAAATCAGATTTGTCTGAGTCAGATTGTAGCTGTCCAAGACAGCCTTATCAGTTTAGGAAATCTAATAGTATGAAACTGGCCTTGAGGACATCAGAGGAGCAAGGTGATTGGTCAATTCTGTTGTAACGAAAGCTTTCATTGGTCACCACTGTTGTCAGCTTTGTTTTGATTGGTTGTTGATGCTTCTTTTGATTTTAAATGTATTTCAGCTTTGTTAACCCAGTGCTAAGTGCCACAAAGTTATTCTTTATTAGGTGTGTGATGTATGACACTTCTAATATTTACAATTTCAGAGCTGGCTTCTGTCTGTTTATTTTCATCATGGAATTAATTGTCTTTGCTTTGTGTGTTGTAGGAAATAGGCACCCACTGGCTTCAGGGCACCACAATCGATAAAATATCATTATGGTCATTTTTTTTAAAAAACTACAGTAAAGGGGAATAGAATGAGCAAGAACTAAAATGTATAGAGATTTAGTATATACTAATTTGTATAAGAATTCAAGAAATTAAGTTATGATACAGAGAGGAAAATGGTGAAGTGTGAAAAAATTCCAGGGAATTAGAATGACCAAAATTGTATTTTAACCAGGGCTTACAAATTATTTTTGTGCATTTCTTTCTTTGTCTAAATCTGTATGTATTGTGTGACATCATATTTCTGTATCTTAGTATCAATGTACACTACATGTATTATATATACACCAAAATGTTTTTCATAAACATTTCAATTATATTATTAACTATTGTTTTTGCATCTTTGGCCAAATAAGCCTTTTGTTGAATTATTTTTTATTGCTTTGTGCTTATTGTCAGGAAGGTTTTGGTGTTTGTAGTCTATGTTGGTAAAATCTTTATGGAAAGCTTCAACAGTATCATGTGTTTAGATGATCCTGTATTTCATATAAGCAGAAATTAAATGTATTTTAAAGGTGAACATGCTTTTTGTGACCTTTTTTAGTCTGATACATTTTAGTCTGATTGTAATATTGAATTAAATGCTGTAAAGCATGAGATTCTTCTGTTTTTACAGCGACCTATTTCTGGAAATTATTATAAATTTCAGTTTCTGACTTTCCGTTGATTCTTAGGATGTAATAATGGTATTATCCTAAAGTCACTTAATTCACAAGAATAATCCACAAGAATTGGAATACATGTATTTTTTCAGTCTTAAGAGTAATTCATTGCTAAATGAAGCATGATAGAATTAAGTGGAATTTAATGTTTTTAGAATTGCTCATTCTTTTATTTGTTATTTAGGTTGGAGCGATAACGATACACTAAATCGTAAACTTCAGAAAGCGTCAACTATGCCAACACAGTCTGCAGGAGCAGGACCTGGTACAGCTAGACCTTCACAAATAAATTGTCTGTTGAGCCCGATCTGCCTCATTTCATAATCTCCAGCGGCAAAACTTTTTCCCTTCTTTTTCCCATTTTTCTTTCAAATTGGCATGTTATCTTGCAATTTTAAAGAAAAAAGGGAGACCAAAACAGGTCCTTTTTGAGTCAGTGAAATGGCTTTACAGACAATTAATCTGAAGGAGACTAAAACTTTATGAATAGTGTTTAATCTTACATCAAGTCTATATTCTCCTTTCTTCCTAATCTATTATTTAAGCCCTGGGGGCGTGATTTTGTCATGGTAATGATGCATTGTGGGATTAATCTTGGAATTTATCCAAACATTGGTGAATTCGCACAATCTTTAGGATAAATTTTATCTAAATCCTAATCCACCTATGTGGGTGGATTACTTTTTGGATTAATTTTATCTGAATTCCAATGTAATTTGGATAAATCTTGGGGTTTCCCCCAAAATCCTAGGAACTTACGAATTCACCAAATATTAATCCGGATCAATAATCCAAGAAGATAAAATTTATCCGGATAAATTCTTGGATCTTATGAATTCATGGCCTCTTTATTTCTAGTTATCAGTATCCTAGATTTATTTAGTAGGCCATTGCCAAGGCCATCATATTGTGTTCAGTCTCCTTCAATGTCAGGATTTAAAGGCAGAATCAGATCTAGCAAGCCACCTTTCCTTTCGTTTTAATTTTAGAATATTTTTGTGCTTATATTATTAAAAAAGTTCATAATCTACTCCATGTGAATTAAAGATTTTGACACACAGCATTTACACATTTGACTTTGAACCTTAAATAACCTGACCATTTGATAGGATATGATGAACCTATGTTGCATTTCCTATTCATAAAAGGAGCAAATGTCTAAGATATATGAATTAAATGTAAAGATGGGAAATGTGGAAAGGTGTGACTTGATGTAAGATTGATGGATACTCTTCTGTGTTTCTTTCTGTGTTCACTTGATGTGAAGTTAAAGGGGCAGCAAGAACTAGAGAGTGTAAACTGATGGAAGTGGTCCTTTCAAGAAGCATGTCAATATTTCCATTTGTACAATTCTTATTTTATGACCTGAAAAAGAATTGAGATTTCGGATCAAATATTGAAGGTATTGAAGATCCTGAATTCTCTGAAGAATGCATCGAAAAATTACAGGATTATCCTGGTATTAAGTCAAAACTGAAGGACTTTTCAGAAAGAAATATTGAGAATGAAATTGTAAGATTGTGACAATTTTTCTGAAAGTTACACTCAACTGGCATCTATGCTTTGTTGCCCCTTTAAGGCTTACTGCCCATTTCTTCTCGGTTTATTACTTGTAGTTCAGTTTTTTTGCCTTCTTGTTTGAAGACATTGAAGGCTTGGAAATTTTGGTTACAATTGAAAATATGTTCTTGTAAATGCAATACCCCATAGTATAGGGTTGGTGGTTTATAATATATTGTACATGTACAGTGTTATGGGATCTTACCATTCCAAATGTGTTATACTGAAAAGAACCAGTTATGATTTTAGGGTTGTAAGTCCACAAACGGATCATTTTGGTTCAGTGAGGGTTATGACATTATTGGGGTTGTTACCTTTAATAGATACTTTGATGTGTATTTGTACCTTTATTTTACTTTTCAGTGATTTGGTCTGGTATACATGGAACATTTACTTTCTAATCTCAGTGTACAATAAAACCTGTATTTTCAAACTGCTCTCTTAGCTAAGCACCTCTCAATGCAAATTTGAACACCTGTCAGTTTGAACACATTTGGTAGGTTGTAGTGGCGTTTGGATTAGACAGGTTTTATTACATGAATTCTCCTTCAACCTGACAGAATTTCACCCTATAATCTTTGTGTGGTTTTCTTTACTTTTAGATGTTGTTTGTTCTTGTTTACTTTATATACTATATACATATATAAATTGTAGTACCTGTAAAATAAATAGTACAATATGATTCATTTCATGTTTTGTATGTCCACATATTTGATGTTAAAAGGGAAAGCCAACCAAGCATTTTACATTTAAATTATGAAAAGATTTTTATTAAAGATTTACATTTAACTCCAGGTTGGAATGAAAACCAGTATGACATCATTCCTAGCGAACAAACCGATTGGACAGATAAAGACCCCTTGGTATCATCATCATCACCTCAGGGGTCTCTCAATCGTCGTAACAATCAACAAGTCAAATCAAAACCAGCAGTCAAACCAAAGGTACATTAAAATTTCACCCAGTAATATTGCCTTGCATATTGAAATATACATATTGAAATCTACAATATTTTATATACAAGGAAAAGTATACTCCTGTCTACACATATTTTTTAAGGGACCTTGTTGGTAAGGAGTTAGTATTACATGTTTTAATGTCTTTAAAGCGATGACATATTGATATAGCCACCAGTTTTTGTGTCTGGCATTTCACATCTACATCTGTTACAATTGTAATGTTGCATTTTTGTATTTGCATCATATGTTTTCTTGTCATGTTGAGGCTTGCAAAAATACTGGTTTCTTGCATTTTCAATGTTCAAACTTCAACTGTTTAATATAAGTCTTTCTTTGACTTCTATTTAGTGCAATATTTCAATCATTTAAAATGTGTATGTTTTCAAAAAGTCAGGGTTTTGGTAAATGGTGTCATCCTGCTTTCAAGAATGTTATAAAATAACCAAACTAATTAAGAATTCAATTTATATTTCAGCCATTAAACATGCATAGGTTCTCAGATGTTACCAATGTGATACGCCGTAACCTTGGTTACAGCAAACAACAACATCACCAACAGCAACAGCAGCAACAACAACAACAACAACAAGGCTTCAACTACATGCCCATACAACATGTTCAGGCCCCCCTGGCCACACCCGAACATGTGGAGATCGGGGACTATGCGCAAGTCAGGGTAAGGGCCAGTTTACAATGTTATTGTTCTTAAATACAAATGTAAAAAATACTTATACACTGTAGCCTGTTAAGAATTTAATATTGATTTTGTCCAGGGAAATATAATTTTCAAGTGAACTGAGGAGGGGACTTATATTTTTATTCATAGAAGGAATAAAAACTTATTCATTCTTAGATGAAAAAGCCTTTTTATTTTATATTCATTTTGTTATACAGTATATTTTGCCAATGTAACCAGATACCAAATCATGTCAAAACATTTCCCTCATTGTTGATGTCCATCGCTTCAGTCTGCGTATATGTTATTCCTTACGATGGTGCTTGACCAGAAGGTATAGGATTCAATTCAGAGCATAACACATTACTCTGTGTATTTAACACACCAGATACAGCCAAATTCATCGCCTACCAAAACTTGTCCTTCATTGTCCATTGCTACAGCATTAGGCCACCATAGTCCATCTGATTCTGTCAGGAGGTACTGGATGAATTTGCCCTCTGGTGTGAGCAGGTGAATCCTGTTGTTCAAGTAGTCAGCCACTATGATATTGTCCGCTCTATCTATACATAGTCCCAAAGGATTGTTCAGCTGGTTCTGCCCTCCATCAAGAGTCCCATACTTGAACAGCTCATTCCCCTCTCTGGTCATCCCCACAACACAGTGTGCACTGTTGTCAGACACAATAACCACATCTTTGCTGTTCACTGCTACATAGTGAGGATTTGAGAACTGTTTCGACTTTGTCATTATTTTGCCTGTTGTGCTGTCTAAGTGGTGTATTGCTCTAGTGGCAATGTCACATACAATAAGTTCACCATGGGTATTGACTGCAATTCCTCCACATTGTTGCAGTGAAGGTATTGTTAGATCTCTACTGTGTATACCATCCTGGTTGTAAATGCTGATGGTTTTGGTATTATTGGTAAGATATATCTCATCATCTTTAGCAGCAACATTAGTAAATCTACCATCAATTTTATCCTTATCTGACATGTCTTTATTATAGGTATTGGCTGCAGATTGGTAGCCTGTAGTTACTACATTATTATTGTTAGTTACAGCTATGTCCCATACTGCAGATTGTGCCTTATTGGTTCTTTCTACTACAATAGGCTTTGTTAATTTTATTGATTTTAATACAACAGGAATTTTCATAATTTCAATGTCTACTCCACCCAACATAATTCTGTCCTCAACCACTTTACCTTGATGTAGCCTGAATGCAATGTTATAGTCAAATCCAGTGTTTTTAGGAACGTCCCATTCCTTAGATTTAGTGGCGATGTCTTGAGCCATGTTAGCAAGCTGGGCATCATGTCCATGTTGTTTTAGTGTACGAAGCTGGCTCATTGCGCTCTCAGTAGTGACCTTTTGTATATTGAGCTGTTCTAGGTGGGCAATTGCCTGCTTAGTGCATGTAGCCTTTTTCTCAGCCACCAACTTAATGTTCTTTGAGTAATGATTACGGATTGCTTGGATAGCAATGTTCATATCATTGTTAAGTTCATGGGTAACATTATCTGCTTCATTTTCCATTTTATCTTTCTTGGTTTGAGTGCTCTGTATTGATTGTACATAACTGTCAATGATCTTTTCACCTTTCTTGAAGAGTTCATCAATTTGTTCAACATTGTCCGCTGCAGCTTGATGGATGTCAACACACTCGTGGCCAGAGTGTTTGATCACGTAACACGTGGCACAAACAGCTTGACTATCAACTTTACAATATATCTCAATTGGATTGGTTTTATGGGTTTCACAATATACTGTATATTGTTTAACAGCACTTAGTGAACTGTTTATATCTTGAGCCTCATCACATGTAAGGTCAATTACAGCATGGCCTTGAAAAAACATATCATGATAGTCCTGGCATTGTTTACAAAACTGTTTGTTGCATTGTATGCATTTTGATATAGCATCAATGTCCTTCTGGTGTTTCTCTTTACATAATGTACATTCTGGTTTGTCACTTACATCCATGGACTGTAACATATCCACTAATGTATTTGTTGTGTAGTTGACCTGAAATTTGGTCACTTCCCCTTCGGGTATTATATGAACTCGTCTACATTCTGGGCAGCCTAGGCTAAGTTTCTTTCCTTGTTTCTTCTTTTCCAACTTATCAAGGCACTTGCAACAGTAGGTGTGCATACATGGTAGTGTTCTTGGGTCTGTCAGTGTCTCATAACATACTTTACATTTCAATGTCTCTTTAACATGTTCTTCTACTGTGGTTGCCATTTTAATCTTCAATATCATATGATGATTTTTGTGAGGAACTTTGATCATAAACGTGTTACTTATTATCTCAGTCTGTTTAATTTAGATATTTAAAAAGTTTTATCTTTGATTGATTTAAGAGGCACTATTTGTAAAAAGGGGGCAGGAGGTGGCACAGGTCAAATTTTATATTTCAAAAATTTTATTCTTATATGAAAGTATGACCATTGGGAAGCCAAAATATGTCATTCATTTTTCTCACAGATGATTGGTTAGTTTGTGACACCGTTGCTAAGCAACCCATGTTTGTTGTCTTTTTACAACCTAGAAAATGCACCAAAATCAGTGAAAAAAGATATATTTCCAGCTTATGGTATGCTAAGAAGATGATCCAAAACCAGTTAATAACTATTTGATTTGTATATGGGACATGTTGAAGAGTTCATATGTATTGTTTATTATGACGTCACAATGGTTGCCATGGTTACGGAGCCTTTTCTGGAACATGGGTCAATTAAGAGACGAAATGGCAGCCATCTTTGGACCCAGTTTGTTTAATAAGCCAGATGTCCCATGTAGAGTGGGTATTACTGTTGGAAAGAGGAGCATTAGAGCTTTCATAATCTGCAATAAAATAACTGGGATTTTGGGTTTTCAAGATTTTACAAGCATTTTACTTTTAACTTTTTTTTCGATGTTTTCGGCCATTTCTTCAAGGTTTTCGTGATTTTAGTTGGAAACATGAGGGTCAATATAGAGACGAAATGGCAACCATCTTTGGATCCAATTTGCCAGAAAAGCCAGATGTCCCATGTACAGTGAGTATTATTGTTGGAAAGAGGAGCATTAGGGCTCACATTATCTGCAATAAAATAACTGGGATTTTGAGAATTCAAGATTTTACATGCTTTTTACTTTTCCCATTTTTTCGCTATTTTTGGAGTATTTTTCAACTTTTTCAAGATTTTAAGTGGCAAACATGATATTATTTAGATGTAGCAATGATTATCATATTATATCTAAATTTGCCACATATGATATATGGAGAATAAGGATGAAATTACTGGCACAATAAACCCTATTGGCCAAAATGGAAGGATGTTAGGTCAATATAATTGTCTTAATAAAGTTCCCATACCCCATTTTTCATTGCACAAATTTCCCACAAAATAACATTTTTATAACAAATAATGCATTTTATCAAGCATGATTATTATTCAACCTTCAAATGGAATATAATCCTGTAATGCTAAATATCTAAGTATAAACATCAAATTAGGGAAATTACTAAAAACCTTAAAGAAGCCCAGAAGAAAAAGCAATCTCTAAGTGTAAACCTTATATTGGAAACTATTCAATAGCACAATTTCAAAGACAGCCAATATTTTAATTTTGCTCCATATAATGCAAGAAGAATGGTAAATACAAAGCATTATAACATACCTATGATGATGTATAGTGCAAAGTGTACACAAGACAGCGGGCCAATATAAGTTTTGAAAAGCCCGCGCCCGCTAACTTTCTGATTGGTCAAGGCGCTGACGTCATAACCAGTCAATCGAAGATAAAACTGCGCGAGCAATTTTTCTAAACTCATTTCAATCATTTTCAAACCATTTGTTTGTCAATTCTATAAGAAAACGGTACTCTCTGACCAGTCTACATCATCATAGGTATGTTATAAATTATTTATGTCACTATCGTGGCACATATGCCCTTGGTTCTCAGAGATCAATGTCCCTCCCAAGGTCGGGCCATATATCACTGAGACCTCGGGCATATATGCCACGATAGTGACATAACCTCTAAATCCAACATCATTTTAGAGCTGTCAAGTGTCCTGCAAATGGCGGGATTATTCCGCGAATTTGATCAAAGGTAGGCTAATTCGATTGTCCCGCAATGTCCCACAAAGTCCCGCAATGTCGGCTTTGACCTCCTAATAAAGTATTACAAAAGTTGTACGCATTACACTGAATTTGGTAAACACTAATTTATTATTAAAACCTGTATGCATTACTTACTCTTCCTCAGTGCTTTCATTTTTCCTGAAGTTTATGTTAATGTAAACGATAGGCCATGTGAAGATATAACGGAAACTACGTAATAATATTCCTATGCATATTGTGTGAGATTGTGTTGACGTTTATTTAACACCGTGTTTAAGTTAAGTGCATCATATTTGATTAATCATCAGTATCTGAAAGTTGGTTTTGAGTACTTTTACATTAAGTCGCAATCGCGCAAATCCCTTGAATGTCCCCCGACATTCCGCGAATTTAGTGTACTTTGTCTAAAAAATCTATCCCTCGATGAAGTCTTTGGTGGTTACCCTGTTAACTGTCCCGCAATTAGCGTGTTTGTTTATCTTTCAAGTGAAGTCCTCATTTCAATCATTTTCAAACCATTTGTTTGTCAATTCTATAAGAAAACGGTACTCTCTGACCAGTCTACATCATCATAGGTATGTTATAAATCATTTATGTCACTATCGTGGCACATATGCCCTTGGTTCTCAGAGATCAATGTCCCTCCCAAGGTCGGGCCATATATCACTGAGACCTCGGGCATATATGCCACGATAGTGACATAACCTCTAAATCCAACATCATTTTAGAGCTGTCAAGTGTCCCGCAAATGGCGGGATTATTCCGCGAATTTGATCAAAGGTAGGCTAATTCGATTGTCCCGCAATGTCCCACAAAGTCCCGCAATGTCGGCTTTGACCTCCTAATAAAGTATTACAAAAGTTGTACGCATTACACTGAATTTGGTAAACACTAATTTATTATTAAAACCTGTATGCATTACTTACTCTTCCTCAGTGCTTTCATTTTTCCTGAAGTTTATGTTAATGTAAACGATAGGCCATGTGAAGATATAACGGAAACTACGTAATAATATTCCTATGCATATTGTGTGAGATTGTGTTGACGTTTATTTAACACCGTGTTTAAGTTAAGTGCATCATATTTGATTAATCATCAGTATCTGAAAGTTGGTTTTGAGTACTTTTACATTAAGTCCCAATCGCGCAAATCCCTTGAATGTCCCCCGACATCCCGCGAATTTAGTGTACTTTGTCTAAAAAATCTATCCCTCGATGAAGTCTTTGGTGGTTACCCTGTTAACTGTCCAGCAATTAGCGTGTTTGTTTATCTTTCAAGTGAAGTCCCCATGATGATAAAAATATCAATTGAACAATTCGAGAAATCGTCAATAAGGACCCCACGTCAACAATTTTTTCAAAATGTTTCTATTTATGTTTTGATAAAAAGCCCCCATCTTGAAAAAAATTGCTTGAACAGAACTCCTCTTTCCCTAGGAATCAGCTTTGAGTCAAATCAGTCTGCTGGTATTTGAAGATTATGTTTTTCTAAAAATGGCAGCCATTTTGAAATTCAATGGCCTCTTGAAAAATGTCTTCTGGAGCAGTGCTCCGTTGTCTGAAAATGACAGCCATTTTGAAATTCAATGGCCTCTTGAAAAATGTCTTCTCGAGCAGTGCTCCGTTGTCTCTAGGTATCAGCATATTGCGCATACGATTTTAACCAAACCCTACTTGTATTTGGGTTATCAACGATAACATTATTTTACAAAGAATGGTGGCCATCTTGCAATTTAGCTAAAATCTTGAAAATGTTTTCGTTATGAAAAATGGCAGCCATTTTGAAATTTATCGACCCTCTTGAAAATCTCTTCTTTATCATAGCTCCTTTGTCCCTAGGTATCAACATATACACTTTGGACTAAATCCATCAACTGAGTGGCCATTTTGAAAAATCCTTCTAAGCTAAATTGTCCTATGCGCGAAAGGCATAAGCCTGTAAAATTTGAATCAAATTTGTCAACCAGTATTTGAGTTATCGCCCAAAAACATGGACAGTGGGACAGGAAGATGAATGAACGTTCTGACAGTGAACTTGACCGTTAATTTCATAATTAAACTAAATAAATTCCAAATGTAGTATAGGGTATAACGCACGGGTACATTTACCTGAGATATTGTTTAGCGCAAATTCACATTCTTTGTGTTGTACCTTACCGTTATGGCATGTCATACCATATACTACATTGGGAGCTTGTGTAGGTTTAATAATTATGAAATTCACCTGTCAACTGCAGGAGTTCCGCATGGATCTATCTTATGACCCATTTTGTTCTTTTTATACTGGGTGACACAAAACATGTTTTACTAATTTTGGAATAAACTTTTTCAACAATTAATGAATCTTCATATATAGGAAATTACAAAATAGAATCTGTTTCACGATACATTTACCTGGGAATGGAATTAAGCATAAGTGGGTCAATGAGACCTGCAGCCCAGCATGTCAAAGACAAAGCTGAAAAGGCAAAATTTAAATTATTAAGTCTAATTTCTAATGGTAATATGAAACCATCATTATGCTTAAAACTATTTGATCAACTCATAAAGCCCATATGCCTCTATGGATCTGATATATGGGGTACGGGTATCTTAAACTCGAGTAAAATTAAAAAAGACCCACAATGGGCATTAGAAAACGGATATGATGGAATAACATTTGAATCTCTTCATATATATTTATGAAATCGATACTCGGTGTTAACAGAAAGGCCAGCAATGACGCTACACGAGGCGATTTAGGTAGGTTTCCACTATTTATTTCTTTGTTTTATCAACAAATGAAATATCTTAATCATATTAACAATAAAGGAACCGAATTCTTCATGCTACACTAAGAATGATTCATTTTGACCATAGGGGTATTTGCCAAAAACGCACCTCTTCCTTTAAGTAAATTGTATTTTTGAACATTTTTGATGATTTCACTGAGAGCATACCAGGACTGAAAACATGATAATTCTAAATCATTTTTCCATTGAACACTTTATCTATACAAAAAGCCCATAGATTCCTTAATTATTCAGAAAGTTATTCCAAAATTAGTGGGTGGCATTTTTGTGTTATCCTGTACATTAATGACATTGCCGATGAAGAGAGGAGGGAAACCCGAGGAGGGAAACTTCCGGAGCTTTAGCAATAACAGACATATTATGTCTCTTGTGTACCACCTTTGTTTGCGCAAATTCTCACCAGTTGATGTTTTAATCAATGTAAGCATATTCCTTACATCTTTCTTCACCATGATGTGAAATAACAAGCTATGATATTGATTAACACGCCAGAAATTATATTGTTTTATTGTTTATTGTTCCATTCAAATTATTTACAAAACATATTATTACAATTTGACGCAGAGCGTATATTGTGTGCTAAAAGGTTTAAGGTTATGTATAAGTAAGATAATTAATTTGTGAAGTATTGGAACATAACAAGTAATAATATTATTCGATAATAATATTAATGTTTGTTGATTTGGACAAATCAGGACGATAGGTCATCTCAATGCAGATTTACATTATAGAAGTGGTCATCTTTGAACCCTGGGGCTTTTCCCCTCTTTCGATGAATAAGCTAGTAACAAATGTTTCCTTTTAGCAGAAGACTTATATTTTGCCCCTATAACCCCACTTATTCCATCCATAACTCGGATATTTTACAATCAGATTAGAGTGCTATATATGTATATATAAAACGGTCAGAAAGATGGGAAAAGGGTTTGCAGATGTTTTCCAAACATCAATTGTGTTGTATTGCTATGTAATACTCATAGCCTCTTTCTGTTTCACCTTAGAGCTGAGAAGGTTTGAGATGTCATGGTTTATCATGATGGATATAATACACAATAACTAAAAATAGAGGTGTGGATATTTTTTCTTCTTATACTTAAAGTTTCTTGTAAATTGAAACTCTGACTTGAAATGATTAAATGTGCCGACTCAGCACTTTTGAGCCTGATTCAGAACCTGTCACATATCAATTTTTCATGTCTAGAGGTTTTTTGGTCAATTCCAGGCTGGCTTAATCTAGTCAATCAAATACATTTCATGTCTTAATACTCCATACATGATATAACTCTAATCTTAAGTGCAACTTGACTTAAATTGCCAATTACGTTGAAAATGTATATTTTGGAAAATGGGGTAGGGGTAGCTTAGTATTAGCCAATAGAGATTGGTTGAAAGAAGCATTGTAACTACTTCATCCATCAATTCAATGATTATAATCCATTTGAAGTTTAAATTAATAATCCTGCTTGATAACACACATTTTTTTTATAAAAAATATAATTGAAAGCCCATGATTTGAACAAATAAAAATGGGGTATGGGCGCTTTATTAAGACAATTATATTGACCTAACATCCTTCCATTTTGGCCAATAGGGTTTATTGTGCCAGTAATTTCATCCTTATTCTCCATATATCATATGTGGCAAATTTAGATATAATATGATAATCATTGCTACATCTAAAAAATATCATGTTTGCCACTTAAAATTTTGAAAAAGTTGAAAAATACTCCAAAAATAGCGAAAAAAATGGGAAAAGTAAAAAGCACGTAAAATCTTGAATTCTCAAAATCCCAGTTATTTTATTGCAGATTATGAAGGCCCTAATGCTCCTCTTTCCAACAATAATACTCACTGTACATGGGACATCTAGCTTTTCTGGCAAATTGGATCCAAAGATGGTTGCCATTTCGTCTCTATATTGACCCTCATGATTCCAACTAAAATCACGAAAACCTTGAAGAAATGGCCGAAAACATCGAAAAAAAGTTAAAAGTAAAATGCTTGTAAAATCTTGAAAACCCAAAATCCCAGTTATTTTATTGCAGATTATGAAAGCTCTAATGCTCCTCTTTCCAACAGTAATACACACTCTACATGGGACATCTGGCTTATTAAACAAACTGGGTCCAAAGATGGCTGCCATTTCGTCTCTTAATTGACCCATGTTCCAGAAAAGGCTCCGTAACCATGGCAACCATTGTGACGTCATAATAAACAATACATATGAACTCTTCAACATGTCCCATATACAAGTCAAATGGTTATTAACTGGTTTTGGATTATCTTCTTGGCATATCATAAGCTGGAAATATGTCTTTTTTCACTGATTTTGGTATATTTTCTAGGTTGTAAAAAGACAACAAACATGGGTTGCTTAGCAACGGTGTCACACACTAACCAATCATCTGTGAGAAAAATGAATGACATATTTTGGCTTCCCAATGGTCATACTTTCATATGAGAATAAAATTTTTGAAATATAAAATTTGACCTGTGCCACCCTCTAATGGTGTCCTGCCCCCTTTTTACAAATAGTGCCTCTTAATAATTAACCAGAAATTTGTTATACTTATACTTATTGATGTAGTCGTCAAATTAAAAATGAAAATGAAAATAAAAATGAAATTAATATCATTATTGTTTAACCCCCCCCCCCTATCATATAACAACAGTAACAATGTTGATTTATCTTCTCTTCAATTTTTCAAAACCTCAACTAATGAAATTCTTATTTACCCTTTACCCCTTCCCTATCAAAACTAACATTTGAAAACCATTCCTCAGCCATAATTTAATCATTTATAAGACACACATATTTTTATATAAAATTATTATTTTTCAGACACACATATTTCCAATATTGCTTTGTTTTTGATCAAGTGCATCCAAAATGTCTGTGCTCATCATTCTCATGTATGGTTGTTCATGTTTTTTTGTTTTTTCAGGATGCAGTTCAGCCCCAAGAGAATGACTATGCCTTGGTCCAAGATGCTCTACCTGCTGGGAAACTTCATCGCATTAAGTCAACTTTTAGAAAACAACAAGATGTTAACAAAGGTAACTTTTACAATTCCTATTCATTTACTTTTTCCATTCGTCTGATTTTGTATCTTTAAAAGTGCACTTCATCTACACTTTTCACTAAGAGATAATATGTTCATGTTACTCACACAATACAGAATTGGAATATTGAAAACAGGCCAGTCAGAATCCAGGTAGCAAATGAGAACCATAGTAACAGAATCTAATGCATGCTTAAGAACTGGCATATATTTCATATTAAAACTCCCACTATCAGAATCAATCTATATATGTATTTGTCCTGTTCAAAGCATAGTTCATACCATGGCCTGATCCTCAGGATACAGGTTTTCTGAACTGCTATGTTTTCCTATTTATCAATTACTACGTTGGTATGCTCTTATTATAGGTGGAACTGACTCAGATTCAGAATTCAGTTCTTTGGAACGAAAACCCAGTGGTGACCTCTATAACAGAGTGCATCGTAAACCAACACCACATAAGAAAAAACATAAGCAACGTTCATATGATAGTGGTATATCTAGTACAATAAGCGGTACCTATGGAGAACCGCCTATGTTACCGCCTTACACCATAGAGCGCCATCTATCTCCACATAACCAAACTACCAGGAGTAAATGTAAGAAAAGTATACTGTATATTCTGTAGTCTGTATTCTGTAGTCCCATCAGATCTCTTCATTTTTACAAAAAAGTAAGTAATACTCAACTTCAGAAAGTTCATGTAATCCAGTTTTGTGTCCAGTACCTCAACATGCAATTCAGCATTTTAAAATGTTTATTTTTTTACTATATTTTGCCCTTATATATTCTATCAAAATGCTTTCCATATATGTACATATATACCACATGGTGAAAAATAAAAAAATATTTGTTAAAACATTCTCTATTTTTAGTTTGCAGTAACTCGCCATCAGAGGGTTCTGAAGGCACTGGGGATGAGTTAGCCACGGGTACAAAACCTCAGAAAAAACGCAGATCTCTCAAAATGAAGAAAAAGAAATCCTTGGAAAATGAAGGATCATTGACAGTGTCCATGTCTGATAGCGACTATCTTATATCTCCTATGAGTAAGTTAACACTTCTACATTTAAGTGTGCTCTTCTCTTAAACATACACTGTAGTTAAAGTTTAGGCACTTCTACATTTAGGTGTGCTCTTCTCTTAAACATACGCTGTAGTAAAAGTCTGGGCACTTTTACATTTAGGTGTGCTCTTAAACATACGCTGTAGTTAAAGTTTAGGCACTTCTACATTTAGGTGTGCTCTTCTCTTAAACATACGCTGTAGTAAAAGTCTGGGCACTTTTACATTTAGGTGTGCTCTTAAACATACGCTGTAGTTAAAGTTTGGGCACTTCTACATTTAGGTGTGCCCTTCTCTTAAACATACGCTGTAGTAAAAGTCTGGGCACTTTTACATTTAGGTGTGCTCTTCTCTTAAACATACGCTGTAGTAAAAGTCTGGGCACTTTTACATTTAGGTGTGCTCTTAAACATACGCTGTAGTTAAAGTTTGGGCACTTCTACATTTAGGTGTGCCCTTCTCTTAAACATACGCTGTAGTAAAAGTCTGGGCACTTTTACATTTAGGTGTGCTCTTCTCTTAAACATACGCTGTAGTAAAAGTCTGGGCACTTCTACATTTAGGTGTGCTCTTCTCTTAAACATACGCTGTAGTAAAAGTCTGGGCACTTTTACATTTAGGTGTGCTCTTCTCTTAAACATACGCTGTAGTAGAAGTCTGGGCACTTTTACATTTAGGTGTGCTCTTAAACATACGCTGTAGTTAAAGTTTGGGCACTTCTACATTTAGGTGTGCTCTTCTCTTAAACATACGCTGTAGTAAAAGTCTGGGCACTTTTACATTTAGGTGTGCTCTTAAACATACACTTTAGTTACAGTTTGGGCCATAAATAATTAGTCACAGATTCGCTGAGGTGAGGATTTCCCATGTTAAAAAAAATAACAGAATTTTTAAGAGGCCATACATCAGTGGATGAGAGTATACAAAATGTAAATATATATTTTAGAGGATATGTATCTAAATCAATATTGGAAACTATGGGCTTTCAAACCACCATGGTTTGGAAATTGTGATTGAAAATCGACTATGCATTAATTTATGGTCCAAACTGTAATCTTTTGTCATGAGTGTTTATATTTTTAATTTAGTTGATATCTGAGATGTTAGTCTTATATTAAACTCCTTTTAGGTTCCATCTTTCATTATGGTTGGGAAGGGGAAAAAGAGGGGTGGGGGAGCAGAGGCCAGCTAATTGCAAGGCATTGGCCCATAATGTGAAAGAATATATTTGGATTAAACATTCAGACAGTTTTAAAATGAAATCATAACGTGAATATCTTTATAGGTTGATGTAATATTTCATTTATTTGTATTCATGACCATATACAGAATTATAGAACAGTTGTATGAATATTCTTAATATTGCAAAAATACTGAATGATCATGTGAACCTTTGTCATTTGTGTATTATACATAGAATTGATGCATTTGATATTCATAATATTTATATTCTTTTTCTATAATGATAAGATATTACAATACATTTAAAGAAAACAATGGTAAAGGGGACAACAGTATAAAATAAATATCCACATCTCCATATATATTATATGTGACATGTAGTATGAACAGCTGCTATATCCGTTATAGAACCATATTCTTGTTTCATTTTGATAATAGTCATTCATACTGTCTATAAACCCCATGGGAATTTCTCGCCATTAACATCACTGGACACTAGACCTCTGCCATCGCTAGATTTCACCTCTCCCGTAGCGCCATCTATGATAATAAGTGAAGGGATGCCTCGGATATTAAACTCACTGGACACTTCCCCCTAGAATTACAAAAATACAGTTGTAAATTGTACATGAAAAAATTCCAGATTTTTGTGAGCCCACTGAATGATGCCATTTTTCACAGGGCTCCTTTGTGAAGGATTTTTTATCCTGTTCTGTGGTGATATTTAGAATGGTAGTAAGCTTCTATAAAGCTGTTTGTAATGTAACTGTTTTGTATAAAGACACAAATACGTAATACAAACAAACATACATACTCTAACTACCTTTGTGCCCCCCCCCCCTCCCCAATACACACCTCCCCTAATTGTGTAAGAAGTCTTCATACTTAGGTAGTCAAGTAGTGGTAGGGGGTACATACAATACACTAACCTTAATATCATCATCACCAAAAGACAGAGCCAACCATGGCATTTCTCCAAAGTAGTCTTTAAAGCTTTTTTCGTCCCTGTCTGAACTTAGGAATATGATCTCTAGTTTGTCTGCCTTGTCGCTTGCCTTTACTTTATTATAAAACTCTGTCAACACAGGGGTAAACCCCCTGCAGGGTGGGCACCAGTGAGCAGAGAAATACAGGCCTATATAAAAAGAAAATGTGGCCATGGCTATAGCAATATGATATAGATTGGAAAAGAATAGAATTGACAAAGACCAGAGGTGGAGAAATTGCAATTTTAGTTACCGTATGTGTCAAAATGTAAAATTCAGCAGAAATGAATGGATTAACAAGAGTTGGTGTGTTTGCATGAAGTGAACATTTTTCAATTTTCATTTTTCAACTAAACTAAAAATTTTGTTTTTTCACAATTAATAGTGTAAAAGTTTGTGAAGCAATTGTGTTAAATAACCAACACTATAAAAGACCTCAGACAGAATTTTAAGGCAATTACAAGGTATTGATCTATCTACTTACCTACATGTTTCCCTGGTTTAGCAATGTCCTCAATTTTGACAGTCTCTCCTGCTTTGTTGATGATCGTTCCATCATTGATCAGCTGCGCTAGTGTTTTAGGCATGTTTGTCTAAAAAACAATTTAATCAACTCAATGATTCAAGTGTATTTCCCAGTTTTATTTACTGCGATACTCCAACGACTACTGATCTACTTGCAGTTTCAATAATTTAATAAGAACACGCTCATCAGTGAGTAATTTAACTCAAAAAGAAAATGAAAGTGCATCCTGACACTGGTAGAGTTTCAAGTCATGATCTGATCTTTGGTTATTGCGAAATAGTTATTCATCTTTACTGTGTAAGGATATATATGAATATGTAATAAACAGAGAAGAAAAACAAGAACGTTTTAGTGTTACAGTAAAACCTGTCTTAGTGAACACCCCTCTCTAGTGAACACTAGCTGTGTTTAGTGAACACCTCTTCATGTAACACTTTTTGTGGCTCCATAAGTGTTCACTATATACGAGGGGCGATCAATAAGTAATGGACGCTTTTTTACACAGATGCTTTTTATAGACCAATCCCTTCGATTTTCCTACCAGTGATACATCATTCAATTATCTATCAACTCTAAAAATTTGAAAACAAAATATGTTATATCTTTTGATATATCTTTATTTCCGTGAAGGATGTATAGGTACCCCGGGACCGACATTTCAGCTGGACATTTACGTCAAACATTCTGAAGCTATTTTAGCTTGTTTAACATGCAATGCAGTTGAATGCAGGCTGAACAAAACAAACCATTATGGTCATGAATTACCCCATTTTGTTATGCCATAGTTGATTTTGAATATTTTATCATCGCTATGTGGTATTCATTCCACAGGGCCCTCTATAGGTTCCATCAAGTGCTACATGTACACAATTCCTCATCCTCTTAATTCAAGATTGTGAGACAAGGCTGAATCCATTCTCTGACATGGTAGCAAGATGCAGTTGCACGGGTTGTTTTATTTCATCAATATCAATAAACATGCATCCTTTCTCTATAGAAATAAGTAGTATAGAAATAAATTAGTCACACGTGAGCAGATCTGGACAAAATGGTGCATTGGCCAAGGGCCCAATTTTGAGGTCCAGGGATATTGTTTTCTGAACATTTTGAGATCTGTGGGCAGGTGCATTGTCTATATGGAGTAGGGTGTTCCCTTCTCTCACCACCCCTTTCTTCAACAATGCTTTCTCAAATTGACCTGCAAACCCCTTCCATACAACACTTTGACATCACAATACTTTCTGTTTATGTGTTGACCAGTCAGCAAAGTATTTCAAACAACACAACACATGCTGCATATGAAAAGTTTAAATCTAACTGAAATTTTCCAAACTGGCTGAAAACTGAATATGTGACGTAAATGTCGGTCCCGGGGTACCTGTACCTCCTTCACGGAAATAAAGATATATCAACAATGTATTTTATATTTTGTCTTCAAATCCTCAGAAATGATAGATAATTGAATGATGTATCACTGGTAGGAAAATCAAAGGGATTGGTCTATAAAAAGTATCTGTGTAAAAATGCGTCCATTACTTATTGATCACCCCTCGTATATATAGGTTTTACTGTATATTGTTTATACATGCAAACCACACTTAGGCTACTTAGGTAGCAACACAATAGAATGAACTGTATTTTTTGAAAGAATATACAGTTGTAACAAAGAAAAGTGCATTCTTTTTTTATTGTTTTTAAAGAATGAACACTTGGCAAGCTATATCCAAAACCAGTGTAGCACCAAATATGATTGACTGTCACATGCAGTGCTCTTGAGCTGATCTGATTATATTACGTCCAACAATCCCTAAAATAATCCTTAGGCTCATTTTCAGGTTTTAGACCATTTTTATTATTGGCTCTCTTTTGAGTTTTAAACCATATGTAATATCCCGCCCAAAATAGCTTATTACCTCACTTTCAGCTTTTAGCCCATTTCTCACATTCTCCAAATAACTTTTTGGCTCACTTTCAGCTTTTAGCCCATTTCTCACATGTCCAAATAACTTTTTGGCTCACTTTCAGCTTTTAGCCCATTTCTCACATTCTCCAAATAACTTTTTGGCTCACTTTCAGCTTTTAGCCCATTTCTCACATTCTCCAAATAACTTTTTGGCTCACTTTCAGCTTTTAGCCCATTTCTCACATTCTCCAAATAACTTTTTGGCTCACTTTCAGCTTTTAGCCCATTTCTCACATTCTCCAAATAACTTTTTGGCTCATTTTTAGCTTTTAGCCCATTTCTCACATTCTCCAAATAACTTTTTGGCTCACTTTCAGCTTTTAGCCCATTTCTCACATTCTCCAAATAACTTTTTGGCTCATTTTTAGCTTTTAGGCCATATCCAGCATCCCGCAAAAAACGTATTGGCTCACTTTCAGCTTTAAGACCATTTCTAACATATCCCACAAGTAACTTATTGCATTATAATGTTGTTTACAAGCATTGCTGTCTGAAAGTGATGACTTCATCAATCTAGCCAATATACTGCCCTAGTTTCCAGGATTTATTAGAAAGGACTAATCTGTATCAACAAAATGACTGTCTTGACAAATATCTATTTTCCTAAATTCAGAATGTTACAGTTCATTTCACTCGTCTACTAGGTAAAACCTAAAAATAGGAAATTAAAAGACCATTGTGCAATTATACATGGAAAATTGTGTTTAAATTGTTCATAAATGACATTTGTATATCTTAGATTGCTTCTGGTTTGGTAAATGAAAAGCGTGGCTTCTCATATTTTGATGTTTCTCTGTCACGTTCTTTTTGCATTAACATGGCTAAAACTCCAAATTTTCCATATTTCATTGCACAATGGTCTTTTGATTTCTTATTTTTTAGGTTTTACTGAGTTAGTAGAATGGTGAAATGGACTTTAGTCCTGAGCTGAAGTCACATTTGAGGCTAAAAATCTGCTTGTTATTGGCAATGTTTCTTGTGAGTAATGAAAATTCAGACTCCAGATCACTCCGAGAAGCTCATTCTGATACCCATTTGAAACATCTTAGGCTGAGAATAAATGAGATGTCATGGTTTATCATGATATGAAAAGCTTTCATTTGAATATAACATCAAGTACGTTACCTTATAAGAACTGTATCTATTGTAATGTTGCTCCTTGCTTAGCAGATGCAGAAATGCTCTATAATATGCCGACTGGTCTATTGTACTCTGAACTATGGTATATAGGAAACATAAAAGCAGTCACAGTATTTATATTGATTATAAGGCTCAATACAACAATCATTTCTATATTTAGCGATGTGCTGGTACTTATAAGAGTTGAATGGTTTCATTAATATGCATTAAGGGATCTTTTCAAAAGTTCAAAACTGGATTGCTGAGAAAGCCCCCATTCAAGTCAATGATTTTTAATCAGGAGAATCTGTTTTGGAGAAATGGAACAAAATGTCAAATCCTTTCAGACAACCAAATAATTTTGATTGTTATTTTATAAATAGTCCTTATCTAAATGTTTTTCTAAGTATGATAAATATTAATATTGAAGTTTGAATTGTTCTCTTATATATTTTTCACAAGTAAACAAGTTTATAATTGACTGAGTAACTTTTAACTTTGTCACTTTTGCAATTTCAAACAGTAGCAGAGCTAGACTGGAGGCCATAAATGCATTCAGCAGTTAGTGATTAGTATTTGGCATATGATGTCTGTAACAAATGGCAGGTGGTGACATTTTGCATGTTATTAATCTCCATATGTAATGTGATTATTGGATCTGCATTTACTCATAGTTATATCTTGACTTAAGCTAATTCAGTGATTATGTAAATATTGCGTGTTAATGTGTATTGATTCGTATGTGGATAAGTTCCATGCTGGACCTCCTACATCATGTATATTCTTAGCAGTCCTAGTCATGGCATAACCCCAATGTTCGAGAACAATTATTCCAAATTGCAAATTTGAAAAATCACTCCAAAATGAATCATAGTAGTGTATTGCCCATTTTATGTTGGAACCAATCTGAAATCAAGGCCACTATGTATTATAAGGTTGTTGTGTCCAAAGCTGTTGTTACATCATTAACTCTTAGTCAAATACATGTATGACTGCCAAACCTGCTAGGAAAATAAATTCATTGCCCCATTGGCAGCAAAAGGGGTTGCTATTGGTAATAGGGTAAACATTTTGAATGTTGGATTACATGTAGAACCTCATTTGTTTATATTACATGTATATGAGTATTATAAAAAAAAATATTAAAAAACTTAAGGACTCAAAAAAGTGCACTAATAATGCCGAAAACCCTGGATATGATGCTTTTAGTCGATTTTTATAATTTCTCAACTTTTACCAATCCATTGAATGTAAAATCATATAATGTCTGGTGACATCTATACAATCAAAAACATATGATTTGAAAATAGCAGACTGCAGATTTTGATTCTAAAGAAATTGTCCAGGCTGACAAGAAGTTATCTTATGAGGAAGGATTTATGTAATGTTTTGTAATCAATGTTGTGAAAGTTTTTTAATAAATGAAAGGTATTTTTCGTGAGATGTTCCCAAATGTAAAAATATATTATCTCTATTTTCAGGCAAATCGTTTCAAGGTTCTATAGAGGATGACCCATATGAGCCTGTCATGACTGGGGCGCCTGGTGCTCCAGCTAGGGTGTGTATTAACATGATATATAAATGTCCAATGCCATGAAATAAAGAGAATCAGTATAAATATACAGTAGTAAAAGTAAAAAGTTCAGTCTGGGACCGGCCTTAAGCTTATTTACATTGAAAGGTGTTCATATTGGTGTTCTTATTGAAGTGTTTCAATGTGTATGCACATTTTCAACTAGAATATTTTCAAGTGCAATATTTAAATTTTCAATTACATCTTTCAAGCATTTGAAATTGGAAAGGAATATATTATGAAATATCTTAACTTAGAAAGAGCCCCATTCAATTACTCAGATGCGAGTAGGTAGTTACCAGTTTCGCCACCAGGTGGCTGATTCGGGGGAATTAACATGGCAGGGTATTACAAAATTCCCTTAAACTTGAATATGTATCAGTTTTAGTGGTTCGCTTTTCATATTACCCTTATGTATCTGATAGTTATACAAATTAGAATATGTCCAGTAAAAGAAAATATTATCTGCCCAACACAAGAAAAGATATTTCACTTTTTGTGGTTTTACAACATGGGGTCTATGGGGAATCTCCCCGACCTAGAAGTCAAATATTCAAAGAAAATCAAATTTTCAAAGTTGATAAACTCTTTTCAAAACCACATTTCTAAATTTAATTTTAATTAATTAATTTTAAATTTATAATAGGAAAATCAAATTTTCAAAGTTGATAAACTCTTTTCAAAACCACATTTCTAAATTTAATTTTACATGTAGATTCCAAATATGACATCAGTTTGACTGAATTTTAAATTTTTAATGACATAAATCAAGATTATTTCTACTCGCATCTGGGATATTGGATATTCCTCATCCTCCCTTCATATCAAGGTCCATTCAGTAAATAATAAATACATTGCATATACTATATAATAATGTCAAATGAAATTGACTCCCTTTTTATCTCCAGTATCCCTTCTCTGATGAGGAAGTTTGTGACCTGGGAGAGGGGGACCCTGGATATTGGAAGCGCAAGTGGAAACTTCGGTCGGATAAAGATCCCGATAAATTGCGCAGGAAAGAAGAAAAAAGAATAAAAAAAGTGGAGGAAAGACGTCAAAAGGAAGAGGTGAGGAACCACTTCAAACTTAGTACATAAGAATTAAGCTTAAGTGTAACTTTTTACACTTAAGTGTAACTTAAGCCCATTCACAAAATTGATTTAGAAAATCGACATTGTACTGCTTCCTATATTTTAAACTGCATATTTCTCTCGATTTGGGGAAGCTGCGGCTTCTGTAAGGTTGTCGTAGATGAAATGTGACTGAATCATGCATAGTATTTAACTGTGCCTCCAGGGACTGATGGGAAATATTGCATCCATGCTTTTATTTTTTGTTTATTCCGTGTCCTGTTATGGATAAAGTACAAAGGAGAAACAAACAAATGCACCTTTAGAATGTCTTACTTTAATCATATAACCCTGAATCAAGTCTCTCTGATTTCAATCCTAGAACATCACTTTTTGCAACACTGAATTCATCAATGTTAATCAGTGTGGATGGTTGCAACTTAAATTAACATTTTGCACAATACTTATTTATACATCTGACAATGTTACTTCAGGAGAGGAAACTAAAGGAACAACAGAAGACAGAAAAGCGCAAGATGAAGAAGAAGGACAGTAAATCAGGAGCGCCCCAAAGTGGAAGGATGCTAGAAGACTACATACAGAGCGAGGAAAACCTTATACCATTATTCTTGGAGAAATGTATCCATTACATTGAAAGTGAAGGTTAGTTGGTTATTGTATTTGTGAGAGATGTCACGGAACAAAAAAAAGCGGAATGGTTCGGTTCGGAACATTTTGCTTCGGAACGGAACAGTTTAGGAACGTTTCGGATCAGAGTGATTGTGTGTTTAAGATTAAAATAAGTTGATCATCTAGGTCTATTTGGTAGTGAAAAGCTCTTTAAAACTCGTCAATGAGAAGGAGTGAAAAGAATGAACCTCTTTTGGTGCAAAATATTGATCATGAAGAAAAAAACCGTTAAAAGGATATTTGGCAAAGACAAACACATATTTTCTAATTTACTAAATTTTATTTTATATACCTCTTTTTTTTGACAACCATCCAATTGTTTTCAAACTAACATCCATTGCATAAGTCATGAAATATTAGGGTCTGAATCATCAAAGTATACAATATGGTAACTGGCTCTCATATAAGATCAAATTCTCCAAATGCAAGGCTCAAGACTTCATCCACTCTTTTTCTTCCTGGATTATGTCTGGAGCCCTGTATTTGGAGGATGATAAAATCCAGGTAAATGATATACTATGCGACAACAGTGATATACTTTGAAGAGATCATGTGTCAAAATCAACTTGATCAAACAATTTAATCACTTTTAGGTTTACCAAAGCAGAATTTCCATAGTCTTCTAAAGATAAAACTGAGTATTACTTTAGCTATGAATAAAATTAAAAATACTCCAAAAGCTACGGATGCATAAATATCCAGCATCCATAACTTCCAGAGTGGCATATCTACTGTGATTGGCCGTAGATGGTCTGAACCAAAGTCTACGACATGTTTTATCGCAGCCACTGCACGTTTTCTAGGACTTTCTTGAGATTTGAAAATCCTAGAAGCTTTTCGAATCTTTTCTGTGTATTTCGGATTGCTGATGATTTCATTGATATTGTTTTCGAGTTCATCTGATGTGAATTTTTGAACATTCATGTGGATCCCGTATCCTTTAAACTCCATTCTGATGCTGTTCTGTTTCTGATCCCCAAAAAAGGGCATTCCGAGCATAGGTATCCCATGATGCAGTGCTTCAATTTGCCCATTATTGCCGCAGTGTGTGATAAAAAGCTTCGCTTTTGGATTTGCTAGTAAATCATTCTGTGGCAGCCATTTTGATATCATCACATTGTTAGGGACTGTTATTGTATTATCTCCTGGATATCTCCAGATAATGTCATACTTTATGCTCTTAAATGCTTTTATCATTTTATTTGCAACATCATCATCGATAGAGTTAACCACAGACCCAAATGATACAATGATGAATCCATTCGATTTTGAAACAAAATCTTCAAACTGTTTTGTGAGTGATTTGGCAGGATGGATGGTGAGCCCCCCTACTTGGACAATATTTGACATTATTGGACGATGATAATCCATCAAGGGGTCTGAATTTATAAGCCAACGGCCAGACTGCTTTACCAGGTCTGGTATGATGCGTATTGGGGGTCTTTCAGGAACGAGATGTCTTATCAAAGAGTCATCAACCGATGGCAAGTTATGTTCCATCATTCTCCCAAACATGACGGAAGCAAAAAAGTTCTGTATTCTCTGCTCCAAATCCATTTCTTGTGTATAGGGCATCATCAAATTAGGAGTAAACGAAGGTAGTGCTGGAGACCCCATAAACTCAGCTACAAAAGGGGTGATCAGGGTACAGAATGGTACATTCAACTTATATGGAACAATATAGATATAACTTCCTAGTATAAACCCATCAACTATAACAATGTCATAATTTTCTGCCTTCATTTTTGCTATGGTATCAGCGTCTTCTAGAAACGGAACTATATCATCTCTCATTTTTCCAGCTAATTTCATAAAATTTTCAAAAGCATCTTTTTCTCGATTCGCTTCTGAATTCAGGCTGCCTACTGAGGCATCTGACAAATCCTGCGGTGTGATTTTGGTGTCCCAGTAATAGATTGATGATTTTGTCTCTTTGAAACTTTTTGGTATTTTATCCTTCAAGTATGGGGTTACAATTAAGCCCACCTAAAAATAGCAACAAAAATTGTAAGCATCTCATGAGTGGTTTTTGGTTATTCACAAGCAAATATTTTCTGTCAAAAGATGGCTGAGTGATCAGCTTGAGGAGATATTTCCATGATGTCACACTTTGGGAAAATGAGTTTTCTTGGTTTATACATTTGTATATTTGTATTTGTATGAATATATACTTTCGATGGATTTAAAAAATTATACCTAGTAGTAATGGCATTTTATCCACCCTTTTTGTTGCACCATGGTGTATACTTGAAAACAATATACGAGACAAAACATACAAAAATTGTATTTTTGAAGAGCCATGTGCTTCAGGTAGAAAATGTCACTCATTTAATGATTCTGGGCAATGAGTCTGCCAGGTGTATGGAGGAAAGAAGGTAACACTAACCTGATGTCCCTGAGCAATAAGTTCTTCTCCTACTGCAGTGAAATAGGAAAGATGGCTTGATCCAGCTGGGGCAGGAAGTAGGAGGACCTTCATTCCTGACCCCCATGGAATCACCCCCATGAGTAACACTATCCCCAACCATGCCCTGTAATAAATAAAGAACATGAGTTGTATATGCATCAGATGAAAAACTTTATTTTTATACGTACAAGATATAAACTATATTTAAACTATTTTAACTATTAACTAGTGTGCATGTATCTAAACGAGTGTACATGTAAACTTTTATAGGGATTCATTCATTTCTAATCCTAAAATAATCAAAACTCAAGAGTTCGGAACCTATAACTAACTTGGCACCATCAATGAATTCAGTTGTCTTTCAGGAGCATTTTTCAAGTCTTGGTAGTCTATTGATACTTTGAATAGCACGAAGTCTTTTTTAGAAATTAGTTTATATTTTGCAAAAAAACTATTATCATTTAGATTGAAGACAAAGCTTGAAGATTGGAATGCACCTGATATAGTATTGGAGTGCAACTGTTATAAATAGTGTATACCCTTTTAAATGAATAAAAATAAATAGGCTCTTAGTAAGGATGCTTACTCTCAATGATGCTGAGGTTTGGTAAAAATGAGGATCAAATAATTGTGGTTAATTTCTTCTGTCTTAAAAACACTTTCTTCAAGAACTTACTTCAATGAAGTAAATATTCAAGGAAAGCAATTCAAAATGGATACATCCAAGTTTTAAGGCCAGCCTGTACTATGATGAAATTTCATGACCATGTGCTATTTTTAGATAAATATAACTCATTCCAAACAAGGTCTACATCTTTCATTTTTGCACAATGTGCATTAGTCTACTTTGATTATTAATTGAGGGTTGATAATTCTTTAGAATGTGTAAATAACTAGAGTATTCAGTGGTCTTCCAAAAACATCTCATCATGCAGATCTGCCTTAAAGTGTCCAAATATATAACCTGATAACAATTTATATTCTCCTACCCCCTTTTTCTTGAACTTTCCACCCGAGTGGGTGATGAGAGTAGATCTAGTAAACAACAGTGTAGGCCCTAAGGATCTGAAACTTGCTGGTCAAAATGGAAGTACGGACCAGTTGCAATGTTATTTTCCTATCCTAGGGAAAAAATCAACTGGTCCGTATCAAAAGTAACCTGGTAATGACCAGCAGACCAGCCCCTAAGGCCTACACTGGTAAACAAGAATGAAAACTAGTAGTAATTACAAAGGATATTACCTTGTATTCTTCAGTCCTTTCTCCACCATCTTCACAGATCACGAATGTGTAATAAATGAAATATACATTAAGTCCACCTGGGCACTGGTGACTCAGTTATGTCATAATTTGGCATTTTGCTTAAATGTAATCTAATACTTAAGATAAACTTGCACGCATAGGTCACAGTCTTAACAGATCACCAATGGATGTATTGATTTAAATGTGAAAACTTGTAGAGATATATGTGTATAGCCATATAAATTGCAAGTCATTGAGTATACAGCCTGCCAATACACTGTATATTTTAGTAGGGTTCACAAAACACTACTTTTTAAGCATCCAGTTATTTTAATAACAGTGAAACGTCTATATCTGAGTTTGCATGTTACTTTATGTACAGTAGGTCAATATATGTACATACCAAGTATGAAATACCAAACTGTAAGGCCGCTATTTGACTATATCAGTAGATGTTTATTTTAGAAATGTTTGCCTTGTTGATTAGCACTGTACAGAGTGTCACAAAATTAGAATCATCTCCTTACATTTTTCATCAAGCAATGCTCTCAAATAACCAAAAGTACAGGGAGAAATCTGGTTTTGTTTGTATTTACCAAATAAGCTAGTCAATATTTCATGATTAACAAGTTACGAAATGATTCAAATAATGTCAAAGACAGAAACAAGTATTCATTTATTGAGACAATGTTTTATGAGGTTGAGTCAATACAGGGTAACACTAAAGGAATTAATGCCACAATATTAATGCTATTATTCCAGAAAATTGCATTTACTGTGCCCCCTGTATAATGGTGAATAAGATACACAGAGATGTAATAGTTTACACAAGAAGGATTTGCTGCATTTCATTTTGACATTCTGCCACATATGGAGTCATGTCGTGAATACAAAATTTAAAATTAAACAGCCTCCATTTTTCATGTCCAGAATTCGAATTGCGAGTTTTTGTCTTATTACCTAACAAATAATTTCAAAACTCAAAAGAAGTGATCAAGATATCAGTTCAAATCTTTTGGAATGCTATTATGAATTTATAGTCTGTTATAGTGTCAGACATTGATAAAACAACATTTTCATCATTCCTATCCTTAGTATATCAGCCAAGAGGGGGAGAAACCCCAGGGTTCAAAGATGACATACGCTTATAATGTAAATCTATATTGAGATGACATCATCGCTGATTGGTTTAGCGAGTCGATCGTTGATTGGTTTAAAACTAGGTCAATTTGAAAACTTTGAAAATCAAGATGGAGGGAAGTATAAATATACATACTTATGGGAAAGGAGGGGTGCGAAGTAGGAAATCGAATGTCATCAATTGAATCATGGGGTTTTCCCTCCTCTTATATCAGCCTGTAGACTTCTTTAAAAATATGGAGGCACAATCAGCACTGAACAAATTTCTTGGAGATTAATATATCAAGTTGGAATCTTGGGAGCCAATCCTACTTGAGTTTACATGCCTTGTTATGATAACAGCCTTTTCTAAACAAAATGTTTACATAATCATTGTTCCTAAAAATGATAATAAATAAAACAAACAAGCAATGATACTCAGAGACTCAGGGATGGGCCGAGCATTGACAAGAGTTGAGAAATTCAGATTCTTCATTTTAAACCTAAGACTTTTTTTGCAAAGCCCTATTTGTGAAACTATTACGCCTCTTTTTGCGCCAAAAAGTATTACGACCCACAGATCTATTGATATGTTAAAATGTCATTAAATGTTCATGATATTAAACTATATTTTTCTGACTTCTAGGAATTACAATGGAAGGTCTTTACAGAGTGCCTGGCAACCGGGCCCAAGTTGAGCTCCTATTTGACAAGTTTAAAGAAGGTAAGGAAATCCAATGTCTTTTACCAAATAAATTAATTAAATAAACCTTTATGAATGTGGGGTGATACCCGCTACTGAAATAAGGGAGATCACAGAAACCCCGCAGAAAATGTCTGTAACCAGGTGGTTTAAAAATAATCCAATACCTGGCCAATAAATGAAATACATGTCATAATACGTGATAATTGGTTACTAAATGCAAAACGTTGACAATGAATGCAATACCTAGTTTTCATTATTACGCTCTTCATTCGATTTTTCTGAAGGGATGGTAATAGTTGGTCATCTTATGTTATAACAGCCAACACAGCCTCAGATTTTCATCTGAGTTGCAAAATGATAAACAACAAAGAAATTCAATTTACTCTGTTTCATTATCCACCATATTGGAAGGCTAAATATAATTATGTTTTTGATGAAATTTTCTCATGTATGCATGTGTCTAGAATGTCTCCTTATTACACTTTCAGATCCTAATATAGACTTTGCGTCCCTGGACATTCCTGTAAATGCTTTTGCCACTGCATTGAAGACATTCTTTAGTGACCTTCATGAACCACTCGTTCCAAGTGCCTTCTATGACGAGCTTATTGAGGCTGCAGGTGAGTCGCCACAACTAATATTCCTAAAATTTGGACACCCCAAAGAAATTTTCAGTATTGTCATTCCAAGTAAACATAATCTTCATTTGCCTACATTGACTTTCAAGCATGATTAATTGACGTGAAAAATGTAAATCACAAAAACTATGATTTGTATTTAAAATTTCATAATAAATGGCGAAATTTGTTATAATAATTTAATACTATTTAACATTTATTTCACAGAATATAAGATGGTTGAAGGTATTAAAGTATACATTAAATTATTCACCCTTTTGTTGAGTAATTACCTATAGCCTCTGCGATTTGGCTTTAGCGACATTGTGGGCTTTAGGTTTTTAGATATTTAGTTGTACATGTATATTAGGTATAATATGTTGTGTTGCTTATTTTTGTGATCCAACTTTATGTTTTATATCAATACTTCATCAATACTGTAGCGTTTTGTAGATGTCTTTTTGTGTGGTCTGTCGTGTCAGAAAATGCCACGAGTTCAATCCATTTATGAAATAGTTCATGAAATGCATTGAACTCGTTTTAAATGTATATCATAAGACTCTCGCCGGACTGCTTGAAGTTACAAAAAAGGGAATGGAAAAAGTGGGAAACCAGAGCATTGATGCGAGACCTAGACAGTAGTAAAGAGGCTTCTATTAGTTTTGTATTATATAATACGTGTCCCCTGTGTGTATGTTGTAACTCTGGTGTGTTTTATTCTTTCATTGAACTCCAAGTTTACAGTCTTTGGCACTAGTTCAGATTTAAAAGTAGTGTGTTGGAGAAAAATAATATTTTGATTTTCTCTTTTAGACTATTATTATCTGGGTCTTAATGTCACATAACGAATCCTTAATTTTGAAAACTTGTGCTGAATTCTAAATGAATATAGATCATTAAATACCTGTATTCTCATTTTTATTTAAACTTCAATCATCACTCATTAAGACTACATCAAGTCCCTTTTTGTGTTCTTCAAAATTTTATTTCATCAATTACTTTTACATCCATATGTATGTATTCCATAGTCAGGATTTGAAATAGGCAATTTAAAGCCAAATAGGATATCATCCTAGCATTGGGCCTCAATTCCAGAGGCATTGTCCTTGCCTGCATCATAATGTGTTTGGTTAGGCACTATCCTTGCCTGCATCATAATATGTTTGGTGAGGCACTGTTCTTGCCAACATCATAATGTGTTTGGTGAGGCACTATCCTTGCCTGCATCATAATATGTTTGGTTAGGCATTGTCCTTGCCAACATCATAATGTGTTTGGTGAGGCACTATCCTTGCCTGCATCATAATATGTTTGGTTAGGCACTGTCCTTGCCCACATCATAATGTGTTTGGTGAGGCATTGTCCTTGCCCACATCATAATGTGTTTGGTGAGGCACTGTCCTTGCCTGCTTCATAATGTGTTTGGTGAGGCATTGTCCTTGCCCACATCATAATGTGTTTGGTTAGGCATTGTCCTTGCCCACATCATAATGTGTTTGGTGAGGCATTGTCCTTGCCTGCATCATAATATGTTTGGTGAGGCATTGTCCTTGCCTGCATCATAATGTGTTTGGTGAGGCACTGTCCTTGCCTGCATCATAATGTGTTTGGTGAGGCACTGTCCTTGCCTGCATCATAATATGTTTGGTGAGCCATTGTCCTTGCCTGCATCATAATGTGTTTGGTTAGGCATTGTCCTTGCCCACATCATAATGTGTTTGGTGAGGCATTGTCCTTGCCTGCATCATAATATGTTTGGTGAGGCACTGTCCTTACCTGCATTATAATATGTTTGGTGAGGCATATTGGTGTTGGTGAGGCACTGTCCTTGCCTGCATCATAATATGTTTGGTGAGTTACTGTCCTTGCCTGCATCATAATGTGTTTGACGAGGCACTGTTCTTGCCTGCATTATAATATGTTTGGTGAGGCATATTGGTGTTGGTGAGGCACTGTCCTTGCCTGCATCATAATATGTCTGGTGAGTTACTGTCCTTGCCTGCATCATAATGTGTTTGACGAGGCACTGTTCTTGCCTGCATTATAATATGTTTGGTGAGGCATATTGGTGTTGGTGAGGCACTGTCCTTGCCTGCATTATAATATGTTTGGTGAGGCATATTGGTGTTGGTGAGGCACTGTCCTTACCTGCATTATAATATGTTTGGTGAGGCATATTGGTGTTGGTGAGGCACTGTCCTTGCCTGCATCATAATATGTTTGGTGAGTTACTGTCCTTGCCTGCATCATAATGTGTTTGGTGAGGTACTATCCTTGCCTGCATCATAATGTGTTTGGTGAGGCACTGTCCTTTCCTGCATCATAATGTGTTTGGTGAGGTACTATCCTTGCCTGCATCATAATGTGTTTGGTGAGGCACTGTCCTTGCCTGCATCATAATATATTTAGTGAGGTACTATCCTTGCCTGCATCATAATGTGTTTGGTGAGGCACTGTCCTTGCCTGCATCATAATGTGTTTGGTGAGGCATTGTCCTTGCCTGCATCATAATATGTTTGGTGAGGCATTGTCCTTGCCCACATCATAATGTGTTTGGTTAGGCATTGTCCTTGCCCGAATCATAATGTGTTTGGTGAGGCATTGTCCTTGCCTGCATCATAATATGTTTGGTGAGGCATTGTCCTTGCCTGCATCATAATGTGTTTGGTGAGGCACTGTCCTTGCCTGCATCATAATGTGTTTGGTGAGGCATTGTCCTTGCCTGCATCATAATATGTTTGGTGAGGCATTGTCCTTGCCTGCATCATAATGTGTTTGGTGAGGCATTGTCCTTGCCTGCATCATAATGTGTTTGGTGAGGCACTGTCCTTGCCTGCATCATAATGTGTTTGGTGAGGCATTGTCCTTGCCTGCATCATAATATGTTTGGTGAGGCATTGTCCTTGCCTGCATCATAATGTGTTTGGTGAGGCATTGTCCTTGCCTGCATCATAATGTGTTTGGTGAGGCACTGTCCTTGCCTGCATCATAATGTGTTTGGTGAGGCACTGTCCTTGCCTGCATCATAATGTGTTTGGTGAGGCACTGTCCTTGCCTGCATCATAATATGTTTGGTGAGGCATTGTCCTTGCCTGCATCATAATATATTTGGTGAGGTACTATCCTTGCCTGCATCATAATATGTTTGTTGAGGCATTGTCCTTGTCTGCATCATAATATGGTGAGGTGAGGCATATTGTGTTTGATGAGGCACTTGCCTTGCCTGCCTCATTCCTGACTACACCTCTGGATCCAGATAGCCAGCATGGAGGTTTATATTGTGTACATGTTTGTTTCGCCAGGTATCCCTGATAAGAGTGGACGTCTCTTAGCTCTGCGTGGTGTCCTGAAGAAACTCCCTGATGTCAACAGAGAGGTTCTCCGCTATGTCATTACACACATTCATAAGTAAGTGAAAAATATGAAATGAAAATAATTTAAAGCACAGTTGCTCAAAGCCTTCTTCAATCATTGTCTATAAAATAAAGAACCCCATTATTCTCTCTGTAGGGAGATGTGAACATTTTCTGTTCAATTGCAATTAGTCAAGCTTAGATTTTTCAAAAGTATTTCGTGGCTCAATCTTAAAATAACTTTCCATTCCCTCTCAATGTTCAACAATGTTTTTAATATACCTATTTTAAGTTCTTATTTCATTGTTATTTTAGGGTGACAGAGTTTAGTGATCAAAATAATATGGACATCAAAAATCTCGCCATTTGCTTCTGGCCGACACTATTACGGCCAGAAATACCGTCATTTGAAAAAATGGCCTTAATCTCAAAACACTTGGAGGACATTGTAGTAACACTCATAGAACAACATGGATTCTTCTTTTACAATGACGTAGAGGTGTGATATTGCCTTATATGGGTAAAATATCCAGATACGGAGATCTGAAAATAATTTATAGCGCGAATGGGATGATATCCATGTTAGGATATTGTGTAAATTATGTGATTTAGCCAATTCAAACATCCAAATATGGCCATAATAACCAAATATGGAGATGATGTGTTACCCGAGAGCTGAGCTATCTGGTACATTGATTGGACATATCAAAGTTCAACTTTGTGGATTGTGATCTACTGTAGCTTGAAAATATGTGATGCTACTATTAAGCATATGTGATATCACAATTGAAAATGTGTGACATCACAGTTTAAGATATGAATTGAATTGAATTGAATACTACTTCTCATCATAAGGTGCAATGTAACAAAGGAGAAGAACAACAACAGTTACAAACTTTTACAATTTATCCATGTTTTTGTATTATTATTCATAAATGTTTTAGAAACATTTCTATGGTAGCCCTTTATAGGTGTATATGTTTGTGAGTTGAGTATATATCTGAAAATTAGTGCACGTCATTAGGAATTGATGAACGAGATATAAAATGATCAACTTGAAAATAGTTTCTCGATTCTCACATAACCAGTTTCTTGATTCTTGTGCAATTATTTATGATATCTTAAAATTGCCACATGGAATATATTGACATATTCCAGAATTTGATTAAATGTACATGAACTGTAATACATCTATTTATATTCAAAATACATGTAGGTGTAAGTCAACATGGTGCTGTTACATGTAATACATGTACAAGTAATGTATTAATACATGTACATGCATAAGTAAATCTAAAGTACAGGTACAAATAAGTGTGTCAATACATGTACAAGTAAGTGTATGAATACTTGTACAAGTAAATGTATTAATACATCTACAAGTAAATGTATTAATACATGTACAAGTAAACTCATTGAACATGTACAAGTATAGTGATACATGTACAAGTAAATGTATTAAACATGTACAAGTAATTGTATTTATACATGTACAAATAAATGTATTATTAATACATGTACAAGTCAATGTATTGTACTTATTGAGTGAATGTATCAATACATGTACAAGTTTATGTATTGAACATGTCATGTTTTTATTATCCCACCGAACATAGTTCATGAGGGATAAAGAAATGCCTTCCATCCATCTGTTCGTTCGTCTGTCTGTCTCGGCAATAACTCAAATACCAGTTTACAGGTTTGGTTCAAATTTTACAGACTGGTGCCTTATTGGCATCGGGCCTATGCTCAAGAAGAAATTTTCAATTGGCCTATGGGAGATCAATTTTTAGATGGCCACCATTTTTGCAAAAATATAATATTTGATTATTTTAAAACCAGTTGATGGATTTAGATAATTTTTTATATCCAAATTAATGCCCTAGTGACATGGGAGCCCTGCACAAGGAAAAACTTCAAGATGACCACTGAATTTAAAATGGCCATCATTTTTGTTAAGATGTCATATTTGATAATTTAAATACTAGTTGACGGATTAAATGATTCAAATTCTTCTGATTAAAATAGAAATTTTCAAGATGGCCGCTGAATTTAAGTGATTTGATTGTTCGGTGGGATTTGCTACTACTGGGGAGTTGCTGTTTAAAAATGGTAATTTTTGTGTGCTGTACTATTATAGGTCAATAAAAAGATTTCAAACTTATTGATGTTAGATACTAATTTTATAGAGAAGCATACTGTTTAGGACAAAAAAATGAGAATTGGATGTACTTTAATGTATAAATGTACTTATGATGTCCTTTGAATATGACGAGAAATATGTGCAAAAACATTGATGAGAAAATACTGAAATTTTGTAATGTGCATTGTATAAATTCATATCTGGTATTTAAGATTTGCAAATTTTTGGGAAATTCACTTTTTTGATGTCAATTAGTTTTTTATAGATGCTATTAGCGTGTTTGCCGACAATAGTAAGTTTTGCTCAATTTTTTTGTCTTACATTACTTCAGGCTTTGAACTCTTAGTTTACTTTCACATAAACATTTAGATATTGGAAGGTTCCTATTTGCCTTGTATTTTCCATTACATCTTTAAAGATTATACATTAAGTATTAGATTTCCTAATGTGTCATTTATTGATTTCAAAATGTTGTAATTTTAAAGATAATCACGATGTATGCCATTATTAATATAAATGTGAGAATCTGAGCACATTTGGTTGTCCTACCCTAGAGACAATTACGAACTAGATGCACATATTTTGAATTGAATGTAACTGTCTCGTCTTATGAAGTGTACATTTTACATGTATTTTATTGGATAACATGAAAAATACCCAATTATCTTTGACATTATGCAATATAGGATTCATTTATACTGATGCCCTATTCAGGCTAAACTTACATCCAACAATAAAATATTACAATTTCATGTACAGTACAAACAGTAATAAATTAAATAAACAAAATAAAACTACATTCTTCAAATTACATATACACAGGCTAATGTTACTATCAGTTGTTATCGAATTGAAGGTTTGAGAATATATTGGTACAGTCTCCAACTTTTTTGTGGACATTGATCGGCATTCAGAGTTTGGCGTCTGTAACAATTTGCGTTGGGCATATGTAACAAATTGCAATAAGGGACAATGTGGTGACATTTTGTCAAGCTAATCCCTTGTTTACATCCGCTTTTAGCACAGCATTTATTTTTTATGTCTCCAATAACTTCTTGCAAATAATTATTGTGATATATCCTATAAATTGCTGTAACATTTCTACAAATAAATTCTTGTGATGTCTAAATCCAAGATTAATTATATTTTGCCAAACAGACAATCTTAATACGTTTTAATGGGTAGGCCTTTAACACAAGTTGCATATCTATATTTCTCTCATAAATGTGTATATGCGAAAGATGGTTGGGTAGTTTTCATGAGGTTGTAGTAAATTGAACGTAGAATGTGTGACTGATATATAATACACCAATTATGTTATTTTTGTAATATATGTAAAATCATTGTAGAATGTGTATATGTACTGTACTGTACTACTGTATTTTAGAATATTTAATTCAAGCCTATTTGGAAATAAGCATTTTGCGTAATCACTGCCTCTTGTATATTTTATTGTATTTTAGTTATTTTATTGTAAACGCTGTCAATTGTCATTCACAATATGTATTGTTAAAAGCAGAATGCTTCTATCCAAACAAGCTTGATGGTTGGGTGCCCTTGTGACTTTAAAAACCCTTCCTATATTTTAAGTAAAGGCCAGTCTGTCTCATAGATTTCACACTAAATACTACACAATATTGCTTCTGTACAATCAGTTCTTGGTAATAAGTTCTTTCTTCAAATGAATTGTGCAAAAATCATTTTTAGTGCCACAATTTAATAAAATACTTCCAAAAAGTCTGTCTTGTTAACAAGCATAGGTACCAGTAGATAGATAGTCAGTAGTTATTGAACTCGAGAGTGTGTGTGTAGAATTTAGTGCAAAATTTTAGTGAAGACAATACGTTATTTAAGAGTTTTTAACTTGCACTGAACAATGGAAACTGTTTTGATAATTGTATCCATTGTCCAAAAGTTAACCTAACTTAGAAATCTCTCTCTCTATTCTCATTGCTATGGAAATCATGTAGTCATACTTTGAGAAAACAATAGATTTAAGAAAATGATATTTTTAGAAATGTACCGATTTTGGCATTTGTAAGTTAAAAGAACAAATAGATATTTGATTATACTCTGTTTACAATAGATTAAAGTGTGTATACACTATTTAAATCTCTTCTTCACTTCCCAATCCAAGGGCACATAATTATTGCAAGGGCATATTAATTCTGGATTAAAGTCCAGATAGAAAAAAGGGCATATGTCATCTGCCAGTCGCTAGGAGTGCTATCCTCTTTTCAAAAAGATAGTGATTCCTTAATTTTGAAAATATTAAAACCTTTAAAAATAAAAAAATGTGTTTTGTTGATTTTTATTTAAAAACTGGTTTAATTCCACTATCTGTCAATATATTTTCATACAAAGTTTCTTTTCTGGATGCAGTATATAGAAAGCTTAAAAAGTAATCTAATCTGATCTATATTTTGTATGAAAAAAATCTGATGTATCATAAACTCACGCCCGGTGATCGTGAATATGGGACGGAGGGGGGGAGCAGGCAATTTCTGCTAGGAAATTCAACAAATCTGGAAGATTTATTTTTTCAAGAAAAAGTTTACTATTGAATTCCTTAATGGATAGGCGCATGGTATGGTAGAATATGTTAGGTTTCCTGGGATTTTTTCTGAAACGATACGCATCTAAGGTATGAGATCTATTAAAAAGGCGCAAGGCCATCAACAGGCACAAATCAACGTTTTTGCTATAAATCAAGCAACAATGGTCTGGACGACCTGTAATAAATACTTGTAAGTGATGTTATCATAACTAAATTAATGTCATTGCTGAATTTATGAAATAAGTTTCCATATGTGAAATAAAAAATAATCGAAAATAATGAATTTGGGACGGAGGGGACGGAGGGGGGGAGCAATATGTATATAAGACATGATTAGAGATGTTTCGCGACTTTAAGTCCTTTTACTCCAAATGTCCCCATTTTTCAGTCTCCAGGGGTATATCATCCAGTTTCTTACTAAGTTAATGAGTTCATTTTTCAAATACAAGAATTCGTGTGAAGTTGTTTCACTTTATAGAATTATTACTCCCCCCCTCCGTCCCCTCCCCCCCCCTCCGTCCCATTTTAATTATTTTCGATTATTTTTTATTTTACGTATGGAAACTTATTTTATAAATTCAGCAATGACATTAATTTAGTTATGATAACATCATAACATGTAAAAGTACATCTTGAAACATGTGAAATATGGTTTCGAAAATTGTTAATCAACTTTGCAAATTTTATTTTTTTTGAACATGTGACTTCTAGTTCGGGTTGAACTTTCTACTATATCTGCAATGTTATCTGACCCAAACGAGCCACATGGTGGCGAAACTGGTAACTATCTACTCGCTTATCGCATCCTACGACCCCTTTTCACACTCTAAAGGGTTGTAGGATGTGATAACTACTCGCATCTGCGTTATATTTTTTTGATAAAAGAATGTAATCCTACAAAATCAATGCATACACTGGGGCAACCAGTACTGGATTCCAATTTGCTTTTTTGAAGAACTGTAATTATTTAATGAATTGCTGACGCAGACAAATTATTTTCAAAAAAAATAAAAATCTATTAAAGAACAAATAAAATACCTTATTTATTGACCATAGCTTTTCAATAAAGATATCAGAGTAGACTGATTCAAACACAGTTCTTACCATGACTTGGTGTATAAACAGATACCCTTAAACAGATACAGAAAATTTTAAGGGGCAACGAGGACTGTAGAGAGAAAATTCGAAAATTTTGAAGAAAATGGGCCTCAAAGTTTCAAAATTTGGGCCCAATTTTAGGGGGCCAACATTTTTTCTGCTGAACTTTTTTTCTCTGACTGGAAATTTGCCCCCCCCCCCCTTTGTTGATTGTTGACATACCTATTTTCTTAAAATGTATGGATAAACTATCAATTTCAGCATTAAGAAGTGTAAATTCAGTTCAAAACTTCTAAGGGAGTCCCACTTAAAGATTTTTAGGATTCACCACGTTTGAAGGAGTGAAAAATAAAAAGAGTAGGTTCTACCGAGATTTGAACTCGGATCGCTGGATTCAAAGTCCAGAGTGCTAACCATTACACCATAGAACCTTGGATGATAAGTCTGATGATTTAAAGTGTATAAAGCAAACATAATTAAATTTCAAATAATAAATCTTATTTTATGTATATTTTCAGTTTTAGTAATTATATCAAAGAAGTAAATGGGTGGCCAATCATTTTTATTGTTTTACTCAATTTTCTAGAAATTGTAAATTCAGGAATCATGTAAAACACTATTTGGAAAATAACACTCACGAGCCTTGTCATGGCTTTTCCGGAAGTAAGAAAATCTGTTGGATTTTTAATTTTATCCGAAGAAAGTCAAATTTCAGGGCCAATAGAGCAGTACACGTCTGCTAATTGATACACTTCACAATTCGAGTTTAAATGCACAGGTTGGTAATGTTTTATTCATAACTTTCTCATAATTCCAATCAAATACTTGACTTGAAATCAAATGCTCTCAACTCAATTTCTGCCAAATTCTGGTGGATGGACTTGCCACATAAATCCGACCGTTGTAAGGTAACGACGAGGAGATACTACGTCTTCATTGACTGTTTGAGTTGTGGTCACACACCCAGGAAGAAGACTTAACAGATTTCACAGATGGCAGATTATTTCTAAAGTGCGGGACAAAAATAAATCTCAACCCTCAAAAGTTGTCACAATGAGCTAAATTCTAAGTTTCGTGTCTCAAACTCTCCCAAGCGGTAGAAAAATAATTCCCATTCACTGCAAGTAGCACAATAAATGGATCCAAAGCTTCATACATGTACCTGCAAATGATGGATAAATCTCTACCAAATCGAACGAATGTTTTTATGAATCGCCATGTTTGTGATCCAAGGAGTGACTCCCAGAATGCAACATAATGTAACCTTATTTTCTCGTGACAGATTTCAAAATGGCGAAACAGCATTTTGAAAGCTGACACGTGTCATGTTGCATTCTGGGAGCCAATCCACATTGCGGCGTAATCGGGCTCCAAAATCACCTCAACATTTGAAGAGTCGGCATTAACAGGTGAATTCCACTTCAAATTTTTAAGTTCTTATTTGTCATTATAGACACGAATTCCATTATATCTGGACTTACTAGGACGGAGGAAATAGAGCACTGAATACACTGAGGTAAGAATTTATTACATGTGCGACAGCATGTAATTTCAATAGGTTTTGTAATTCTTTATGTCCCCCACTGTATATTGTATTTCCTAAGAAAAATCCAGCCATCTGTGGGGGATTTAATCTTCTTCCTGGGCCTGTGGCTGTGCTTGAAATAGACACATAGCTAGGCAAGGTGTGTCCAGTTCCATTCAATCCCAACACTGTATTTCATATAAAGCATATTATACCACCAATCACTGCATTCAAGGTCACTTGTTATAAACAGTTGTCAAGGTGACACTTGACTCTCCAGATTGAAATTGATACTTTGCCAACTTGACCCTTACAGTCAATATGGTACAACGAAAATGGGACTTCTGCGCATGTTAAACTTTTTCATCAAAACTCAACTTTTGTTCAAGTTGATAAGATTGTCTTTCGAACTAGAGACTTACCTCATTCGAAAGATCATAAAAGACTTTATCTATACTGAAAATCTTAGATCCAAACATAGTAAAATACGCCGTCAGTCCACATTTGATTTTTTGAAGTGAGTTTCGTAGATCGTCAGATTTCTCCGACTGATATCGGGTTATCTCAAACTGGTTCGTTTATAAATACGAATTTCTTTACCGTTGTAAGGCGCATGCGCAAAATTGATTTATAAACGTTATTGGTTGATGGTTTTTCTCCTGCGCATGCGTGAAGTCTGATTAACACTTATGACGAAGACCGGAGCAAACATTACTAGCTCTCGAACGAAATTCCAAGATTCAGGTCATTTCGCCGTGTTTGCTAAGTGTGTACACGTGAATGACAAGCTGTTTTGAGTAGATCAGGTACCTGTTTTAGACACAACATTGATTTAGCTTGACATTGACATTGGCACTTTTGAGCATGTTAATACAAGTTTTTACACTCTTAGCACGAGACGGGGTTTCGAAAAATCTGTTATCTGATTCACTCGATTATCGTATTGATATGTATTTCTGCTGACATTTCAACACCACATCACATAGAATTACGATGCAGAATGATAATAAAACACAAAACAACTACTAAATTCCACTTGTTATTTCACAGGAGGTAAAAATGCAAACTGCCTAGATTCTTTGTAAGGGTCGTCAGACATCGGATTGGCCGCCATATTTGAAATGAAAATATCACTAAATAGAGGTCTGCGCATGTATCAACATTTCGACTGCTTACAAAAAGTTCCTTTACATTTCTGCTGTGTTGACATGCAAAGATTTGGAAACAATACCTTCAATAGAATGATTCAGCACACAATGCACTGAGCCCAAGGCTTAATCCTTAAAACATTGCAGATTGAGAATTCTTCATTTCTGGCAGCCAGATGTAAGAGTTGGGACTGGGAATAGATATGTCAACAATTACCAAGCCTGGTTAGATATTGTTTAAACTGCAAATCCTCCTGAACTCTGGTCTCTATTATGACATAAGTTATTCAATCTAAGATTATTTATTATTTATCTCCTTTTTGACATATCAGGTACATTCTGTTCTGCTTTATATTCTCAATACGATGTAAACATTCCTTATCTTTAATTTTGTTTGTGTTTACATAGTGATATTCTGATTGAGAGTAAGAACATAGTAAACATATAGAATTATTAAAGTGAATTTATATGTGTGATAAAATTATTTTATAAAAATTGTTCATTTTTGTTGGATAATCTTTCAAAAATAGCAATTCTGTATTCAAATTTTGAGGTATTTACATTTAAGTTTTAAGAAAACAAAAAGTGGTTGGATGTATGGGACAGTAGAAATCTTATGAATTAATCTTGTGTCTCTTTCATTCTATAAACATTAATCAGGACACTTCTCGTTATTAAGATATCTCGGTTGTCATATCCATTAACATAATTTCTCTCAAAAGTATGAATGAATATCATTTTTCAATTTTCGTAATATATAGAGTAAGAACTATAAGTCTAGTCTTATATTTCATTTCTTTACAAATTTCTATCTATTTCAATCTGTTGCATGTTTCAAAACATCATCCATCGCATGAAATTGATTAGGGTTCATCGAGGATAAGGTCGACTGGTTAAGTTCTCATATTGAAGACTGGCCAATCAATAATGTTCTACAATTTTATCCATTGGTAGATTTGTAGCTCGCCCACGCTGTTTTCGATCCATCCAAGATATATGAATACCAGAATGCTTTAGAACAGCATTGTTTCTCATCGTAGCACATCTATTTAACCTTATTAAATCAGATCTGCAGAATAGGTTGATCAACAGCTATCCTATCAGAATTGAAGTCCAGAATTTTATACCTGCATTTGTAGCTGCCATATACAGATTCAAACCTGCAACAAAGGCTATAAATGGCAGCTACATTTGGAGTAGGTTGGGATCTGACCAGATTATATATTGGTCTGTCTTATTAAAAGAATAGTAATAAGTTCTAGCCTGTAGATCCCAGGGTAGTGGCCATTCATTTGGAGTTGAATATTTGTCTGTTTTTTTTAAAGAATGATAAAATTCATGAATGACTATAGCTAGGATGAATTTTGTACAAACTATGAGATTGTTATTGGTGTCTTGAACTTTTGAATCCTGCAGAATTGTTATGGGAAGTTTCTGCACATATCTCAAACTCTAAACAAACAGGTGGAAATGCAATTTATCTGTTTCAGCTCATATATCTTGTTCACTAGCATACATTGTAATAAACGCTTAACTGTATAGTTCAAAGTTCTGTATTTATTATACTTTTTGAAAATATTCAAACAATAGAAACCAGAGAACAACAGACTATACAATGAAAAGGTTTTTACAAGAGGAAGACTCACTTGACAGAAGTATTCTCTATAGTTGAAGTGTTCTCATAGTATGGTAGACATTGATTTGATAGGTGTTCACATGATAGAGGTGTTAGCAGAGAAGAGGTGGCTTCATAAGATAAGTATGTTCACAAGATTTAGGTTCATGAAGAGAGATATTCTCATTAGCTTTAATGTTCTCATATGTATTTGTATAAGATAGGGGTGTTCTCATAAGAAAGATATCCACATAAGATGTGATGTTGAGGTGAGTTCTCATAGAGATATGTTTTAAAAGTGGGATATTCTCATTCTAATAAATGAGGTGTTCCCACCAGGTATCCTCATTGAGAGATGTGTTTATATATGAGAAGTGTTCTCATGAGAGATGTGGTTATATATGAGAGGTGTTTTCATGAGAGATGTGTTTATATATGAGAGGTGTTCTCATGAGAGATGTGGTTATATATGAGAGGTGTTTACATGAGAGATGTGGTTATATATGAGAAGTGTTCTCATGATAGATGTGGTTATATATGAGAGGTGTTTTCATGAGAGATGTGTTTATATATGAGAAGTGTTCTCATGATAGATGTGGTTATATATGAGAAGTGTTTTCATGAGAGATATGGTTATATATGAGAGGAGTTCTCATGAGAGATGTGGTTATATATGAGAGGTGTTCTCATGAGAGATGTGGTTATATATGTGAGGTGTTCTCATGAGAGATGTGGTTATATATGAGAGGTGTTCTCAAGAGAGATGTGGTTACATATGAGAAGTGTTCTCATGATAGATGTGGTTATATATGAGAGGTGTTTTCATGAGAGATGTGGTTATATATGAGAAGTGTTCTCATGATAGATGTGGTTATATATGAGAGGTGTTTTCATGAGAGATTTGGTTATATATGTGAGGTGTTTTCATGAGAGATTTGGTTATATATGTGAGGTGTTTTCATGAGAGATGTGGTTATATATGTGAGGTGTTTTCATGAGAGATTTGGTTACATATGAGAGGTGTTCTCATGAGAGATGTGGTTATATTTGAAAGGTGTTCTCATGAGAGCTGTGGTTATATATGAGAGGTGTTCTCATGAGAGATGTGGTTATATATGTGAGGTGTTCTCATGAGAGATGTGGTTACATATGAGAAGTGTTCTCATGATAGATGTGGTTATAAATGAGAGGTGTTCTCATGAGAGATGTGGTTATATATGAGAAGTGTTTTCATGAGAGATATGGTTATATATGAGAGGAGTTCTCATGAGAGATGTGGTTATATATGAGAGGTGTTCTCATGAGAGCTGTGGTTACATATGAGAAGTGTTCTCATGATAGATGTGGTTATAAATGAGAGGAGTTCTCATGAGAGATGTGGTTATATATGAGAGGTGTTCTCATGAGAGATGTGGTTATATATGAGAGGTGTTTACATTAGAGATGTGGTTATATATAAGAGGTGTTCTCATGAGAGATGTGGTTACATATGAGAAGTGTTCTCATGATAGATGTGGTTATAAATGAGGGGTGTTCTCATGAGAGATATGGTTATATATGAGAGGAGTTCTCATAAGAAATGTGGTTATATAAGAGAGGTGTTCTCATGAGAGATGTGATAATATATGAGAGGTGTTTTCATGAGAGATGTGCTTATATATGAGAGGTGTTCTCATCTCATGAGAGAGGTGGTTATTTATGAGAGGTGTTCTCATGAGAGATGTGGTTATATTTGAGAGGTGGTCTCATGAGAGATGTGGTTATATATGAGAGGTATCTCATGAGAGATGTGCTTGTATATATGAGAGGTGTTCTCACGAGAGATGTGGTTATATATGAGAGGTGTTCTCATGAGAGATGTGTTTATATATGAGAGGTGTTCTCATGAGAGATGTGTTTATATATGAGAGGTGTTCTCATGAGAGATGTGGTTATATATGAGAGGTGTTTACATTAGAGATGTGGTTATATATAAGAGGTGTTCTCATGAGAGATGTGGTTACATATGAGAAGTGTTCTCATGATAGATGTGGTTATAAATGAGGGGTGTTCTCATGAGAGATATGGTTATATATGAGAGGAGTTCTCATAAGAAATGTGGTTATATAAGAGAGGTGTTCTCATGAGAGATGTGATAATATATGAGAGGTGTTTTCATGAGAGATGTGCTTATATATGAGAGGTGTTCTCATCTCTTGAAAGATGTGGTTATTTATGAGAGGTGTCATGAGTGATGTGGTTATTTATGAGAGGTGTTCTCATCTCTTGAAAGATGTGGTTATTTATGAGAGGTGTTGTCATGAGTGATGTGGTTATATATGAGAGGTGTTCTCATCTCTTGAAAGATGTGGTTATTTATGAGAGGTGTTGTCATGAGTGATGTGGTTATTTATGAGAGGTGTTCTCATGAGAGATGTGGTTATATATAGAGGTGTTCTCATGAGAGATGTGGTTATATATGAGAGGTGTTCTCATGAGAGATGTGGTTATATATAGAGGTGTTCTCATGAGAGATGTGGTTATATATGAGAGGTGTTCTCATGAGAGAGTTATTCATGATAGGAGGTGTGTTCTGTTCACATAAGAGATATGTCATCAAAAGAAGCGTTTACTTGCTAGAAGTATTTATGAGGTATGTTTGTCATGAAATGCATCCAAATTTATAAGTGAAGGTTCGTTTAGGGTGAGGTTCTATGGCATGGTGATTACATCTTACCATGAAAGAATTTTCTACCATATTTTGGTACTATAGTGTTATCTAATATCTGCCTGGATATTGCATTGATCCACTTGAGCGAAATGTTTTAGATATTCGCCAGATATTATTCAAGCGAGGGCTGAATATGTATATACTCGTAAGACTTGCATTGCAATATACATACTTGTACTTCCTGTCTTTCTAGTCAGTTTACACCCTTGGGAATATTTCATGCATCATATTTTCCCCATTCAGGTATCAATCGGTTCAGTATGTGCAAGTTGGCATTACTGATTGTGGTAGTTGCATGAGAAACTGCACAAAGCCTATGATAGAATAATCTAATTTTGAGACTGCAAGTGCAACTAGAAGTGATAAGCCCTCACATATTAAATATCTGTTTAGTGGTACTTGCATGGTTACTCCAAAACCTTAAGGTCAAACCAGTTCTTTCAAAATTTAGCTTTATTTTATTTTGTCAAAAGAGGGAGAGAAAAAAGCTTGAGGTTACGTCATTCTTTACAAAAAACAGTTTTTCTAAATGGAGAATTAACTTGTATGGGCCTTAAGTGATGTAAGAATGTTGGGTTCAATAGCTGATGTCTGCCAAAATATTTCAGGAATGATGTATATTTTACTCAAATTAGTACTAAAAATCGAAAGAAATAGCTGGGATTTTTGCATTTCTATATGATTCTGAATATAAGCTATGGGCCTATGTATATAATTCCTCTGTCTTATCTCTGTATTCTCAATACTATACAAAAGAAATCACAATTCTAGATATTTTAGTCAAGCGGGTAGTTTCACTGATTGGTAAGTTGTGGATATATAAAGTAAGATTCAGATCTTTATATTAGTTTGAATTCTGATATCGTGCTGGAGCACAATAAAAACTCAGTGAGGTAGAGTTAGATAGGTATGTAAGTGTAGGGGTAAGTGAATTAGATTGGAAATTGATTGGATTTGGGAATGCATCTGATAAGTACAGTGAATTTATATTCTGGGTAAGGTCAAATAGAAATAACTACTGTGGCTATTAGTACATCTGTATGCCGTATTGGAAAATACAGTCAGTTTAACTCATGCTATCTGAATATAATAGAGGATGGAATATACATACTTGTATTTCCACATGAACCAAACATTGGCAACTTAAGGGTTCTAAACACATTTTTCGTGTTAAAAGTGAGTAAATTAATATCTTGTTTTGTCAGCTGTCTATTTTAAAAATGCAATATGTTCCAATTTTAGATTTATCAGAATGTACTTTATTAAATGCTCAGATTTTGTTACTAGTCGTGCTATTCCTTGTCCCACTCAAACATCTCTACAAGGAGAGATAAGATAGGGGTGGGGGTCCAGAGCATAACATTGAAATAGGGGTCATAGACATCCTAAGGTTACAATAGGAATCATATACTTACATTGTATGAATTTGCAAATCTGACTCTATATAAGTCTATATCTACAGTCAGGTTGTACTGCATCTAACATTTGCGAAGACTCTCTTGTTATAAACATAAGACAATGGCATTGGTGAAGTCAGAGAAAGGGTGTATTGACATGCGAAGCTCAAAAATTATTTCAAAATTTTTTTTTCTTGTGCCATTTGAGAATATTGACCCATTTTGAGCTTATATGTGAGCTTAGAATAGAATTGCCCCGTTGCCCATAATATGCCCCCCATTCTTGTTAATTTCTTGATCTTAAGTCTTAATCATATGCATATCAATGAACTAATTTATATCTATTTCCAGTGATTGACTGAAGGATACATCCAGCAACTGCCTCTGACAGATAGAAACCTGTGGATGAATCATTACCGTAGCAACAGGAGAGTGATAATGAAGTTACCATAGCAACAGATACTATTGTAAGTTTCCATGGCATTATTAATAGAACGAGGGAAAAATTTCAGTCTCTGTATCTGTTTACAAACTCAGTCTGATCGCCTATAATAGTCATATCTCCTTGAGAGCAACTTAGAAAAGTTTTCTGAGAATTGATAATTTCAATTTGAATGTCAATGAACTGAGAGAAAACTGTATCATATCTTGTAAGAATGGTGGCAAGTCATGTTAACCTAAGTCAAAAAGATAGTCTTGTGTCTACAGTAGTTTCTTCTCCCCAGCTGTTTTGGTGAGTAGGTCACATTGACTTGAAGCCAAACTATAAAAATTATTTTCATGAGGACCCTTTATATACAAAGCTATTATTGATGTGTATAAATCGTCATTTAAATATTCAACTAAATCCTGTTTCCATAGCAACCATTATTCTTCTGAGTTAAACTTAAACTTAGACTTGTACATGACATCAAGTTACAAGTATCAGCCTTACAACATCAAGTTGAATTTACACACTTTGGCAATTTTCTCTAAAAAGTCTGTCTTCATTATAATGATTCCATGACATAATGATTACCCATACAAATGCCAAATGATCACATACAAGTGAATTCATTCACAAAATGTCAAGAGGCCATGTTTTTCCACTTAAACAATGGCATTGCAAAGAGAATGATTTAAAATGAATAAACCAGTTGCGATGAGACATGTAGACAGACCTCCAAATTGTAGAGCTATGCAAGATAATTCAATATTTTATTCAAATATACATATTACAGAAACATTGAAAGGAAAAGAGCCTTTGACATTTAAGCATGCCGTATATTGTTACCATGGATATGTGAACAGTGTTGCCATGGAAACCACCATCTAAATGGAACTATGGAGATTTCCTCGATGATATGCCGAAATATTGAATAAAGGTTGCCTGTCCCAAAGGAATTGTTCTCACAGTTTTACAGATTTTGTTATTAATGGATATTTTATATCTGAGTAGCAGGAGACTAACAATAACATGATATTAGATTTACAATGATATTGATTGCCTTACAATAACAATGTTGGATTTACAATATTTCACTTCAACTGGATTCATGAATTAGATCTTCTTAAAATGACATTGGATCAGAAATAAATTGTAATAGCAGGAGGCCACCAAGTTCACGGATAAGGTAATAATATTAGTGATGTTGGATCAATGATAAATGACTTTGGATTCAATAAATGACCTTGACTTCATAATAAATGACCTTGACTTCATAAAAAATGAGCTTGATTTCATAATAAATGACCTTGACTTCATAATAAATGACCTTGACTTCATAATAAGTGACATTGACTTCATAATAAATGACCTTGATTTCATAATAAATGACCTTGACTTCATAATAAATGACCTTGAATTCACAATACGTGATCTTATATTCATGATAGATAAGCTCAGATTCACAAAAAAATATATTGAATTCACAATAAATTACAGTGGATTCGAAATAAATTACATTGAATTCACAATAAATTACATTGGATTCAAAATAAATTACATTGAATTCACAATAAATTACATTGAATTCACAATAAATGACATTGAATACTATTCTTAATAGATTCATGACTATAGACGAAACAGTATGTAAAGTACAATATATTAGGAATAAGGAACCTAGTTTTCCCCCAACATGATAGAACTACTAAGAAAATATAACAGCTCTTCTTGAGAAAGTAATGAAATACACTGCATGCTACACTGCATGTAATCTTCATTGATTAGGTGCTCAGTTTTAGTGCTTTGTATATTTTACAATCATTAATGAAATAGTTTGTGAATTGATTAAAGCATATTATTTCATTGTAAAGGTCTATATACCCTTGTACATGTATGTCCACCATTGTAATGGATTGAGTTTGGGGTAGGGGGTTAAAAGTCCATTCAATTTTGATATAAATATATAATAGCTGGTACCCTGCACACAGAGTCTGGATATGAACTACTCTCTGCCTAGTATAGACAACATCACAGTTTCACAGTGCCACCCCTAAGATTGGTGCCTGTGACAGCCTAGGTAATAAATGATTTTAACCACCACTGACCACGTTGAACCTTTCTCAACCAATCAGTGAAAGTAGAAGGAACACATGCTAAATACATGCTCATTAACTATGCGGGGATGTCAGAGGAAATGACCATATAGAATGTCGTCCGTATTTTGGCGATGAACTCTGATTAGCTCGGTGAGATCAGAGATTTATTGTAAACTGAAAGCGTGAAGACTATAAGCTCTCTTTTAAGAATCGAAGTCGAACATATGCAAAGGGGAAATACCTGGAGGAAGGGATGGAGAGACCCGAATGTTAAAACCTAATCCTTTTACTTATACATGTACCTTTGTCTTTAAGTTATAATATAAACTGACAATATTTATGAAAACGCCCACACATTATTGGAAAAACTGTTTCCAAGTGGTATTAAACTAAATACAAAGCTGGTGCACTGTTAACACCTATTGTTAAAAACTAGTTGAACAAGAATGCTCTTGAAATTAAACCGACACTTTTGGTCATATAATATTAAGCAAATTAAGAATTGTAGAATTTTGTTCAATCTCTTGTCACAGTTTTATTTCATCCAAAAAACAACTTCATGTTTTAGAATCGTCTGATAAAAGAAATCATGTTGAGTACATGATTGGATTACAATGCTTACAAATAGAGAATAACAGAAATCTGAATTCTAGTAAAGCGTGTCATGAAACAAACCAACTCAACGGATTAGAAATAAGTTGTGAGTTCATATTCTATGAGTGCTTTATTTTTAGAGAACTGAACTGAGAGTGCTTTAAATCTCAAAAAATCCAGAGTGAAGCACCATATTGGACAAACACTGTAAAATATGTTAGATTTGGATTAAAGTGTTGATGTCCTAGTTTATCTTACATGTGTGCTTTGTTTTACAGATTAACTGAGCTTTGTGTGCTTTGACAAAAACAGAGCAAAACACAAACAGACATGAACCATGAAACAAGACAATAGATTTGGATTAGAGGTGTGATGTCATTGCTGTTATGTTCTGCCTCTCTGCCCTAATGCTGACGATATGGTTGTAATGAAGATGTGCCAAAAAAGGTAAAATAACAAAATACTAATAAGAGGTTGTCCCAAAACTTTTGCATTGAATTCTGCATGAATTCTATTTCGTTAAATGTTAGATCATACCCACCCACCCACCTTCATTAATTTCAGAGAGGTCTCATTTATGCTTTTATAGCCTTTATTTATAAAGAGAATCTATTGGGAAGCATCTCCATCAAAATGTCTCAATTCAGGCTATATTGTATTGTAGTACTTGTCTTTTTTCAAATTAATCCTTATTATCACAACTGTAGCATGATTGAAGCACAAGTGAGCCTCATTAAATGGCACTGAATAATAATATATTAATTCAGTGCCATTTAATGAGGCTCACTTGTGCTTCAATCATGCTACAGTTGTGATAATAAGGATTAATTTGAAAAAAGACAAGTACTACAATACAATATAGCCTGAATTGAGACATTTTGATGGAGATGCTTTCATATTGAGTATTAATTCTCTTTTACCTGGTGGCATTTTGAAATTTCTCACATTTTCTGGGATGGGTCATTTTGTGAAGTGAGAGAGGGAGTTTGTAAATAATGAACACTTTATATTTTTAAGACATTAAGAGGCTAATCCATTCAGGTTTAATAAATTGATAAATAAATCATTTAATAAGTTCAGGCTTGTACGTTGTAAAGCATGGATTCTTTATTATTTTTAAGTTATAATTAATATCTTTTAAGTTCAAAATTTAATATGTTAGTTTTAATCTTTGATTGATGATTAAGATCAAAGCTAGGAGCACTATATCATATTCATTTTCTGTAAGAAATTGTAAGAGTATTTTATAGTGCAGATATTGTATCAATGTCAAATTAACATGTCATAAATTGCTATTTCGCAAGAGTGCTTCGTTATGTTGCAATATGGTCTTTGTTTCATTCAATTTAGTTAATGGAAATAGAAAGACATTAAAGGTAGCATCTGTTTATATTTTTCAATTTCAGTTAGTTTGATATAGATTTTAAAACATGCCATTTTGTTATTGTCTTATGAAATTGGTGGGCACATGGATGGATGGTAGCATGGATAATGTTTGATTTTGTGATTGCTGGACATTTGTTATATATACAGTGAAACCTGTGAACACCTAGTCCAGTGAGTACCCCTTCTCAGCACACATCTTCTGATTTCTATTTCAGTATGAAACTGTCTCTGTAGTGAACACCTACCTAGTGAACACATTTTTGTGGCTCCAGAGGTGTTCCCTGTACACAGGTTTCACTGTATTTACTTTGCTGAAAATCCATATGATATTTTCTGGTGTATATTTTCATTTAAACATTTAAAGTCCTGTAAAAGCTGATCAGCTGCATATTCAATTGAATATGAAAATTCAAATTTTAGGTGTAAGCCATGGGGTTTAATACGTATATGACGCTCACCAGTGTTTATAGTAGATTCCCTTGATATTCTTTGTAAATTCCTTATATCACTAGGACGCCTAAAAGCTTGATAAAAAACTGTTGAGATGCAACGGCTTTGATCCCAAGAGCAGACAGAAAATTACCTGTCAAGTACAGTGAACGAGCCAAATCTCTATGAATGATATATCCTTAATTCTTGATTTCCTCTTACAATGAATTGTACAATAATGAAGTGCACTATTATCTCGTATGATATTAAATTCAGACCAAATCAACCCAAGCTCATGAGCTACAATATAGCAATAATCTTATACAGTAGAAAGACGTCTACATCTCGCACAGGATCGGGAAATTGACGGGAGGAGGATAATTGCTTTGACTATGAAGGCCTTTTTAATCAGACGGGGCAATTTCCTCAGAATATTAGGTTTTTAAAAGCATTTTTAGACCCGAAATTGAAAAACAAATTAGGGACGAAATATTTGTAAGCCCAGCTTAGTGAGAGGGGCTGGACCAGATATTATTCATTTTAGTATGCATGATTGTAAAGTCGCTTATAAAGTGAGAACATTAAATATAGCAAAATGATTCAAAGGCATATATCATTCTTTGAAATATTCAAATTAAGAGGTACAACGGAAATCAATATATAAGAATTTAAAAAGGATGTCAAAGAATAGTGTTTTAATTGTACCAGTACATGTATGCCCATTTTTGTTGTTTCATTATAACCTGAAAACTATAAACAATTTTTTTTCAAAAGTTCAGAAAGGCAGTTACAAGGTTTCAACATGTACAATGGATATGACATCAGTATATCAGTAGTCAGTGGGCTGTTTAAGCCAAATCAACAGAATAACTGTTTTGGTATATTACTCCTTTAAATCTGATATCATTGTGATTCTTCTGTCATGATAGTACTGAATAAGGAATGAACTATCAATTACTGGATATAGCCTCAGAAACTAACTATTACTTACCAAATGCCAATAGAGCATTCTAAACAGCTATAAACTAATAACATTGAAACGGCATGTTCAATCGATCGATTCCCTTTTAACCCCAAAAGAATTACTTGAAATATTTTGCCCTATGTCCATGAATATATGGAAGTGTTGTGTGGTTGTTGCAAGATGAGTTTTTGCTTAGACTCGAGATGAATTTCATTCAAGTCTTCAATTTTTACAAAAATACCTATATAGTATAGCCTTTTATTTCATCATAGCAAAAATTAGGATATTTACATTTATAGATGTGATTCATGTTTGTCTATCAATATAACACCTTTCAAATTCCGACACTTATGTTAAACATGTTCATAAATTGAAACCATGACAACAATTAATTTTAGCTGGACTGTAAAAAATTAATTTCGTTTGATTTTGAGGTTTAAATACCCATAGAAGGAGGGTGTTAATTTAGTGCTATACCTATTGCCAATAATAAGAACGGTATCTGGTCAACTCGGTCCCTAGTTAACTCAGACCCTAGTCAACTTGGACCCTAGTTAACTCGGCCAAAGTTATATTCAATATAAATCAGAGGTATTTTGCTATTTTAGAGGTGAAAGCAATTAACTTGCAAAATATTAAGAATATTAGAATAGTTTAAGATATAACTTAATTCATTACTGAAATCTTTAAATAATGAGGTTTTTCTATATCAATCAATCTTTTAAAACCTTTTTACTTTTATGCTATTTGCATCATGTGTGATCACAGTAGAACTACATTTCTTCACATCTTTTATTACGTGATTAAGATGAAGTAAGGTTTAGGGCCAGGAAGTGACAACATGTAGGGGTACATTTGATCATGTCACAGGGATTATGAGAACGCTTGGGGATAATATATCCTCCTAGGGCTATTTGACGTATTGCAATACCACATGACGACAAAACAATCATAATACCTCTATTCTGCTTCCAGGAGAGAAAACGTGCATGTTGGAATCCCCGGCTATTGTTACATCACAATAACATCATTGTGATGTCATAATAGATTCTACGGAGGAGGAAAGGTGATATAAAATTATTCTGCAATCATGATTTCTAAAATGATGAATCGAATGTTCAACGAGACGTTCCAGTCCCCAGACTTGGCATCGTTATATCATCGCCAGCTGGTTGTGACCTTGGTACTAGAGGACGCCCTGGTGAAATACGAGTGGCAGGAAGTGATGACTGACACACCTAGTGGTAAGTAAAATCTTTTTTATGATAATTACCAAAAACATTCTGCTAAGTTTTGATATTGATATATAAATGCATGTACATTTCATCAACATCAAAGGTTCAAGTGTCTTGGTACATTGAGATGGTTGCTGTTGTCGGAATGCAAAAGATTACTGATTATATTTTTGATACTTGTATTAATTTGTATGTTCCATCAGAAATTCATTGTGTTTAGGTGCTCATTTCTATACAAGTGTTAACTGTATTAGGTGTGATTTTCTTTTATTCAGAAACATTTTTCATTTTCCATATTCATGGGATTCTTTTCTGAGACCAACATGATAAATAATCAGATTAAATTTGATCTCTTTGATGCATTATTCTCTCGAATTTAGCGAGAGAAATCAGCACTCTGGATATTAGCTAGGATGAGACTATTGCACAAAATCACATCTTCTGCTTCCAAGTTAGTTACAGTATTAGTTAAAGCAATTGAAAGCTTGTGAACCAAGATGCATTTTCATTGATTATGTTTGGGAAGAAGCAAATGAAATGACAGTGAAGTCAAACATCAAGGAAGTTGATGGAGTGGAATAAGATGATTACCCAGGAAAATGTCCTCCTGCTCGTGATAATATTTCTCTCATATTCTCTCTAAAATTTGTATAAACTGTCTCATTTTCTTGCATTTACATACAATTTGGAATGTATACTTCATATGTACCTCAGTTATTTTTCTTTAATTTAATTATCTTTCACACTGTTTGGAGTAGAATATTTGAGCATGTTGGTATTTTTCCTTACCGGCATTTTTTCCAATTATTTCATAACATATCAATTAGATTCTTGTAGTCGTAATTAGCGTTGACAGCTTAAATATTTCATGAATTTTTTTCTATTTTATATCAAGCATTATATGTTATAATATCCTGATAATGGGGTTTCATATGTTCATACTAATTAAGCGTGAATGATACTAGAGAATATTGATTCCAAATGAATTGTAGACTTCTGGGATTATTGTCAATAGTAGAACATGGTGTATCTACACATTTACAATTTCTAGATTTCTCATTTTGATATCAAAGGGTGAAGCTTCTCTGTTGACAGATCAGATCTATCATATCAAATTATGCAATGTTTTAATAGCAGATGAAATAAGTAATTTCTTTCAAATTTAGAAAAAGGGATACAGGACTTTTAAGATCAAGATCCTTTTCGATGAATCTTTCCAAAGTGATGATTTGAACCTTTCAGCTTGGTCATGGGCTCTCAAAAGAGCCCATGGTTTGGCTATACCCTTTTCAGTAAGTGTTTTCACTTATTTAAAAGAGAGCTTCATCTAGTAGATAGCTTTGTTTAAAGACAGTAATCTTTTCCACTACAGCCATTCTGATACTCATAGCATCTTTCTGTTTCACCTGAAACATCTCAGGGCTGAGAAGATTTGAGATGGCATGGTTTATCATGATGCACTACAGCCCTAGATATTGATTCTTAAAACATGACATATCACTTGGAAGTCTTGTTTTCTTAAAACTACATGTAGGTATAAAGAGGTTAATTCTGTCATAAAATAGCAAAAATAGCAAAAGATATATTATATTACTAACACTTCAAGTTCCCAAAAATATGAGATATTCTATAAAATAAAGTATCATTACCCCAAGTAGTATGTGCTAAATGCCCTATGTATCATACATATTAAAAGCTATGCTACGTGCATGTACCCATGTCAGAGTTGTTCCATGCCAACCCATGATAAGCCTTTTTGTGCCTCATGATTTCATGATTTATGTGCTTGCATTTAAACTGTTCCCCTGATATAACAGTAATGGTAATCATGAAGACTTGGATATAGGAAAGAGGAGGGAAAACCCCATGATTCAATTGATGACATACGATTTTCTCTTTTGCGCACCTCCTTTTGTCAAAAACTTACCCTCCATCTTAGTTTTCAAAGTTTTCAAATTGACCTAGTTTTAAACCAATCAACGATCGACTCGCTAAACCAATCAGCGACGATGTCATCTTAATACAGATTTACATTATAAGTGTATGTCATCTTTGAACCCTAGGGTTTCTCCCCCTCTTGATATAGGATGTAATTGCAATTTATTGTGTGTCTCTAAGTGTTTATTTCAGTAGGTCAATAGGAGACATGGGACTTTTGTAGATTTCATGCTAGATCTAGATTGGTTTGTTATAAGAGCGTCGAAGAGCGTTTTTGTTTTTTTAATTGATAAACGATCAATCACATAAGGGAGGCCTGGGGGGGGGGTTCTTAATTTGAAATAAAGTTAAAGCTATGTATAAGGAACACTCTTGTGCACAATTGTCCCTTGGAGACAAATGTTTCTAATATAAATAGAGAGCGTTCTTGTATTATAAATCTGTATAATGAGACTTGGTTCTTTTCCAGGTGTTCATTATATAGAGAGATGTTCTTTAGTACATGTGTTTTCCTGATATAGAGAGTTGCTTGTTATCTAGACACCTGTTCTTGAGATTTTATCTCATCTAGATAGTCTTTCCTTATATGGAGAGGTGCTCCTTATATGGAGAGGTGTTCCTTATCTTGAGAGTTGTTCCTTATCTTGAGAGTTGTTCCTTATCTTGAGAGTCGTTCCTTATATGGAGAGGTGTTCCTTATATGGAGAGGTGTTCCTTATCTTGAGAGTTGTTCCTTATCTAGAGCGTTGTTCATTATCTTGAGACCTGTTCCGTGTCTTGAGATTTTATCTTATCTATAGAGTTGTTCCTTATATGGAGAGGTATTCCTAATATAGAGAGTTGATCATTCTGTACAGAGGTGTTCTTTATATAGAGATGTGTTCCCCAGACATATGTGTTGGGATAACATTGAAAAGTTAACCTTGTCCTGAAAAGAGGTTCCACGTGTAACATTTTGTATCTTATGAGGTTCATTATATGTTTATGCCCTTAATGATAAATTATATCAGTTTATTAATAAGCCATATGGAGAGCTTACGTTTGATGTGATGGTGATGTATTATCAAGAAATGCCCTTAAATATTCATTCTACCAATTTCAAAGTTTTATTCTCTTTTGAGATTTATAGAATCAGGTTCAGTTCTAAAGACATCATTCAATCTTGTTGGAATTAATAGCAACTACATATTTGTGGACAATTAGACAACTATATAAACATTTGTTCATTGAATAATAATCAAGATAATAGATCAGCTTGGAAATCATATTCCAGAATATTTTAAGATTGAATTATACTTGGTAAAGTATAAAACACTTATCCTTGGCTATAAGGTACTATACAAGACACTATGTATATTTTTTAATGAATGGTTAATTAATTTATAATGGTATATTTTATTTGTAAATTTTTGTTATAATGTTCAAGAAGTAACATTATATTATTCCTCACAAACACTGTAATATTGAATCATAACCTGATGTACACATAGTTATAAAATCAGAAATATATACCAGTTCATGAGTTTAAAAAAAAAACTGTATGAAGAACTCGTCCCATTATTTCCACATTGTTACAATTGCATTTTCGCTGATATTGAGAAATCAGAGGTTGAAGTTTAGGTCTTCATAACTTTTGAGTAGTAATTTTTAAAAACTTATTTTTTCGTATAGGTAATCATGTGTATGTGTAGGCCTTGCAGAGCAAAAATCACTGATTAAAAATAAATAGAACACATCTTTTTTTATTGTTTCTTTTTTTTGAAATACCAAACTATCCCTGAAAACTGAATTTTTATTCACTTCCATTTTGTTATTGTCTCATTTACCATTATTCTGCCTATCTAATTATAAAGAATATGGCTTGTGTTCCATTTTGACTGATAAGGCACTGGATGAGCTTGGTCCATGTTTTTGCTTACAGTATTGCATTTATCTAATTATGGTAATTATTTGAAGTATATCATTTCTCATTGATTTTGAAAATAATAGGGTCTAGTTTTTCAGCATCTGCGAATTATTGCCATTTATACCCCCCTGGCTACTTTTATGAGGGGGTACTATGATAATCATCCATAATTTCTGTTATATACCTTCAATCACATTCATATTTCTAGGGATTATGTATCTATGTATAATTAGTTGCTATGACAAGTTTGATCATGATTGGTCAAGTGGTTGCCATAACAACACAACATAAGTGCGAAAAAATGTAAATATTTCGGATAAAGCCACCAGATCTTTAAAACGTACATGACAAAGGTAAAGAGGCTATAACAGGGTCAGTAATTGATTATGTTCACTGAATGAACTTTGTTACAAATAATGTCAAATCTGCTTTCTTTTGTTTGTACTACATGTATGGTGTCATGATTTATGATCTCCTTTGTTAATTACGCGCAAAGTATACTAGTAAGAGATTGTCCCATTATTTCCACATTGTTATAACTATTAGTCACATGATCAGAATTATGAATCTGATTGGCTCTACTGCCTACCCAAACAGATATGACAAGGTGGGCCTAATCTTTTTTTCCTCATTTTGCACTTATAACAATGTGGCACTGGATATCTCCAAACGGAGATGAGATCCATTGAAATGGACCTCAGAAATGAATTCCTCGTGAAAAATTGAGAAAGATAGTATACTTATCTCAAAACCTGTAAAAAGTGAGTTATAACAATGTGGAAATAATGGGACGAACTGTAAAAATTAACCTCCATGCAATGTAAGTGCATTGGACCAACCAATTGATTCAGTTAATTCGTTGACAAAATAGCCGCTTGAATTTCATCTAAATTCTCCTTTTATATCTAACACAGTATTTAATAAAAGTTATCAATTAATCTGATATTGGATTTTCAAGACTGATTTGAAAGGTCATTTTTGCTAGAAATGTATTTTGGCTGAGAAATAAGGGATAGAACTGACCACTTTTGGCTATAAATCTGATTTTTGAGTTGTCTTAGAGGGTGACCTGGTCAGCCTGACCTTGGTTGTGTACATGAATAGGCAATCAATTTCACTCCATATGTAAAAATAGAACTGTCCATCAAATTTTGAAATGATCAGAGAACAGAAATTTTCAATTTGATATGTTGACCTTGCTTTTCTGTATAATATGTTAGAAAATATCTTTGGAGATATTGACAGATATATTGACAGATAAAATTGATATGATTTGATTAAAAATGTACAGGTTACTGTGACCTTAGAAATTACTGAGCTCTGATTTCTATTTTTTGCAGCTTACTTGTATTATTGAATTATTGAAAAAGAGATACCCAGATTAAATCTAGATCTATAAAAATACCTTCACCTAGTTAATTATAGAAAACATTTAAGCTTGTGTCATTTTTCATTTATTCATGCCTGAAAGGTGTAAACGAACAAATCAAAGGTGAATTGCTCCAAAACTTAAAACTTTTTAAACCTGACTTTGTTTTAATTTATGTGAATAACTTTTTTAAAATAACTTTTTAAAAGTTTTTATGTTTTAGTTAAAGTGGCAGCATGAAATGTTGAAAGCTTGCCATTATTTCCTTAAACAATATCAATTTTATTATCTGGAAAATAATTTGATATATATCTGATTAAATATGGAGGTTGGCTGTATAATTAAAATATAGAAAGGTTCAAAATGATTGCAGATAACCTTGAAAATCAACAAATTTTATCGAACTTAAAAACCCAGTCTGACCTTTTAGAATATGTTGAAACTTGTGAAGTTGAACACCTTAAGAAGTGGAACACTTTTCAGATTCCCAGGACCAATTGACTTAATGTTAAATGAACCTCTCAAAGTGAAACACCTCATAAGTAGAACACTTTTTAGAGGTGCTAAAGGTGTTCCACTTACACAGTTTTTACTATATTTCTTAATTCATTGAAATCAAAAATGAAATAAACAGAATGATGCAACCAAATTTTGAAGGCATATTAAGAACCAAAGAATGAGTTAAAGATAAGGTTACAAATGAAGCTCTCTTTTAAGAATCCAAATTCACTGAATTGGATGGGTAACTTCTGTGGTAGATGTGGTTAGGTAAGACCTTTATTTAAAATTATATATTAGTTTTAACAAATAAGGTGTTGTTATAATGAAATATGTTATAAATTGTAATAAATTTTCCTATGTCAAGATCATTATCAACATGACCTTTGACCTTTGGCAATACACTTTGATATGAGTGGTAAAAAGCCAAAAAATGCGGAAAATATACAACAGATTGAAATATTTAGAACCTTGTTGACCAAAGTTATCAACTTATCAGACCTTATCAAGCTCAGTGAATTGATATTAATTGATATTGCTGATATAAAAATAGAGGAAAGTATAAACAGTTCATTTAAAACGACGTCAATTCAGTATTTTTTTATGAACTTCATTTTAGAAAACTGGAAAATTCATTTCAATTCATTTAAGCTCAAATAACAAGCGAGCCAAGGGATAGGTATCAAAAACTGTTAATATAAAGTTCATTAATAATTCAATATGTCAGCATAGCTAGATAAGAACAGATGTTTGATTCATAAAAATTTTCTTCAGAAACTTTCCATTACATTTTCTTCAAGGGTGAAATCCAAGGATTCATAAGAAAATGAAACTAATGTAAAAATCTTCAAGGATTGTTGATTTTGTAAGTGAATTTTTCTCAACGATTGTATACAACCTCCTTGAATGATGACGTTATGCTACGATGCACCTGTAAGGGAAACTGGATGATCATTCACAGGTGTAAGGTGACCCTTACCTGTGATAAACATTCTCATACTTTAAACATTCAACTAGATATTTTATCTAACGAGAAGAAATCACCGTTGGATACAAAAAAACAGAAACCATCTTACATTTATATTTGTAGACTATGTTCTGTGTAAGGAGTAACATTTAGCTTATGGAGAAAAGTATGAGGGATTTTACATAAATAAAACGAGAATTGTGTTGGTAGATATATTTATGAGTTGATGATAGTGATACTTGTATCTATGTAGGATTACGAAATAGTTACATTGTCATATGTATGATCTCTCTTATTGGATTATATGTACAGGATACACATGCTGTTGATCCTGTATTGACAATTATCTCGGAAATGACGTCCCCTCCAGGATCAGGTAGGCCCTCTTATTAATAGCTTAGGTTCAGGGACGTCAGGTAGATAGATGGGAGAGGATCATATGGTTTATTCAAAGTCAGCGGTGGTTGGGCAATATCAGCCTTCAATTTTTCTTTCACATGTTAAACCTACAGAATCTCACTTTCACAAGCCCTTTTAAGTACGCTTCCACTGTTAATAACATTCTCTATGTGCTGATGTAGGGCTTTTACTTACCTCCTATGCTTAATCTAGTGAAAGGGCACAGGTTGTGTTGGAGTTTTCAGTATTATAACTAAACTACATGTACAGTGAAACCTGTATATCCTGACATCTTTCTAATTAACAAAGAGGAGGGTAAACCCCATGATTCAATTGATGACATAGGATTTCCTTCTTCGCGCACCTCCTTTCCCGGAAGTACTTACTCTCCATCTTGGTTTTCAAAGTTTTCAAATTGACCTAGTTTTAAACCAATCAATGATCGACTCGCTAAACCAATCAGCGACAATGTCATCTCAATGCAGATTTACATTATAAGCGTATGTCATCTTTGAACCCTGAGGTTTCTCCCCCTCTTTAATTAACACATCATTTGGTGCACACTTTTCAGCAGGATTCAATGTTTTATTGGTGATCTAGGCCTATTGCATTACCTTCTTGTATATCAGCCTGAAAACGAGGGCTCTTAAATTGATGAGGTAATCAATTTCACAGAATCTAGGTGAAGGTCATCATAGCCGTGCTTAGTTGCCTGATTTTGCATAGCTAGATTTACACATTCTGATTGGTGGAAACGTGATAATGCACACCTTTAAAGGAATATTCCTTGCCAGACCCTTTCTCTCTTGATATGGTAGCTATAATCATATATATAGTTTCCATATTTAGCAAAACATTTTAAATATAAAATATTTTAATATGGTCAATATTGATCATTTAAAAATCTAGTGCTTATTTCCAGTGAGCTGCCATCTTTAAGATTTCTTGCAGGAAGTGATGTCATCAACTCTCAACTTCTATAACCTTGCCCATAACAGTATAGGAAAGTAGCGCAAAATCACTTCTAGACAAGTGATCATTACTTTCTGTGCAAAAATATTTTCAGGGCTTGTCAACTTAGAATAAAAGAAGAGATTTTCAGAAGGATTAGATAAGATACAAAGTTGAAAAAGAATATTTAGCTGGTTTTGTAATTCTTAATAGCTCCTCACCTAATGCTATATGCAAAGTTGAGAGTCGATGACATCACTTCCTGTGTGAAATTTAAAAAAATGGCAGCTTACTGGAATTGAGCATCGCATTTCTAAGTGATCAAATTTGACCATATCAAAACATTTTTGCGTGTTTTGCTAAACATGGCAAGCATATATATGGTTATAGCTACCATATGAGGAGAGAGATGGTTTGGCAAGGAATATTCCTTTAACTATGTATGAATGTATAATCTAAAATGTAACATTCATGTTAGGAATTATAGGTATTAACAATATGATGTTTTTAATTAAATCATATTATTAAATATTCGTATATCCAAAAGTTTTAAGTTGTAGAGATGGAAAATGAACATTTAGTCATATTCAAGGTGTTGGAGTATGATATGAATTCGGAGGAAGAGGCCGGGAATTACTTATTGATCTTTTAGGCTTTAAGGTTCTGTTGAAAAGGGTCCAGAAATATAATCCCTATGACCTATTTATCTGTAAGATCTTGGCCCCCTCTTGACAATTAATTGTAGACACACACATCTGCACAGCCATTTAAAAATCATAAGCAATACCCATGGCTTTTCATTAAGAAGATGACTGCTTATATAAAAACTAGAACAATGTCACATCAGCATGTTATTAAAATGTTACTATATTAAGCCTAAACATCTTTGATTTCCAAGATGAAAATAATGAAAATCACACTGGAAATTCAGTATGGAGTAATTATTATAATACTAACATCCCCAGGTAATCAAAATATAATTTATCTTGGTATAAACCCTTACAAATTAGTTATCTTCTCCCAAGTCATCCCAAATCCAATCTATCACAAGTGGTGACATATTGTTATACTCTCAAACTTTTTTATACATGGTGTTCGGCATTCGGTGTCTGGTGGTTGGCATTCGGATCTTGGTATCTGTAACAAATGGCAGGTGGTGACATTTTACATATTAATGCATTGTTAAGAATTTTAGGTGGTCTCACTTTGTCTCTTTCATTTTTGGATCATAAGAAAAAAGCTCATTATATAGTAGAACCTGAACAGCCAGGTTCTACTCCATTATGAATGTGCTAACCCTACTATCACTCCAAACTAGTTCTCACTACATTCTCGAAAACGGGCTTCAACTGTGTACGAATGGACTGGACGTACTTAGAACTGGTTGGGGTCTATTTACAAACTTCATAGAACGTACTCGAACAGGTAGGGCCTCTAGATTGACACCAAGCAAGTTGCCACTAAGTTCTTCAAAACTGGTTTAAACTGTGTGCGAACGGAATGAACGTAGCTACAATGTTCTACTGTCTGTTTACGAACTTCATGGGCTTTCCCGGACGGGGAATATGATTTAGAATTTTGAATCGATTCAAAATTCAATGGCGACCATACCGTTCTGTAATCAGGTCATGATGACCTTCTAGACTAATGGACGCATTATACGACGTTGCACACCGACGTGGTGCGACCTGAACGAACTGCAAATGAGATGGACGTATTGAAGACTGTTTATGAATGAAGTAGCTAATTATTTTAGACATATTTCCCGACCACAGCCAGATTGAGCCCGTTTTATGACGTTTTCGTAAGACTGGCAAGAACGGGTAAGAACTAGTTTGGTGTGATAGGGGGGTTGTATAAACACTCAGTGACATGTATTTTGTTATCAACACAGGAGCAAATATTTTGAAGTAGAATCCTTGAAATTATGCCAAAATTAGCTCTTAATAGTGATGACTTATTTGTAAACATATTTTAAATGATAATATCCCCCAGTTGAATTCGTATATAACAATTTAGAATAATCAGCATATTTTTTATTACACTTGTTACACTTTTATTTTATATAATCATGCATCAAATTTCTGGCATCCCCTCCCCTGTTTGTCCCGATGAAAGACTGCCTTAGGACCATTGGTGCATGAATGAGGAAAATAATCATCTAATTATGTAAAGAAATGATGATCTCTCCAACATTATAAATGTGTTTGCACCCAAGGGAAAATCTACTGATTCTGCACTGATGAGAGAGATTGGATGAGAGAGATTGGAGAGTTTTGCGCTCATTCAAGGAAAACATCCTAGAGAGAACATTAAATCATGTTTGCTTTTTGGTAAAATGATTGTAAAAATTGATTTTATTATTCTGTTATTAGCACTGGGGGGGGCACCACCCCCCTTTGTGGGCCCAGAAAAATTTTTTAGGGGCCAGCTAATTTTGTAGGACGTCAAAAAATTGGCATTTTTAGGCATAATCTGATTTTTAGGCCAAATTAGCAAAATATGGGTCCTTGAATTAAAAAAAATAGCTCAACTGATGTTTTCATTACTCTAAATTTGCCCCCCCCCCGCCCCTGTTAACTTCTGGATCTGCCAGTGATTAGTATTTGAATTGTAAGTCTTCAAAATGATTGATGTATTGCAGAAAGTTACAGTTCACCTTCTTGTGTTATGAATTTTTATTGAGATGAGTTCAATAGATGGCACTACTGTGTATTATCTGAAGATGTTATTTGGAGCTGTAAAAATCATTCGACTTGTTTTTAATTTATCATTTCATAGGATTATAATAGAAACATTTTTTCATTCTATGGCCTTCGTATTTTTCTAGTGTCATTTTCACTAGATTATCTTGTTATCAGATGACGTTTAGTTTATCTCTTACATATGAAATGCAAACTATAATAAAATCAGAGGAAAGGCCTTCTTGGCATCCTCCATACGTAGGGCTCCAAAATCAATCCTTAGGAGGATGCCTTCTTAGCCCCCCTAATATCTTTTTTCATATGCTTTACTCGTCATCAGAGGAACACCTCCAAGGAATGGTTATTCCACATTGCGCTGACTCCAGGACTTAAATCCTTAAACCCGTTTTCTTGAACATATGGCTATACTTCAGTCTTAATTTCAGTTTTATTCATAGGAGAATTTGTGGTTTCATATCATGTTTTAAACATTTCATTAATTTCATCTCCTGTCACTGTTCCATTATTTCTGTCTATATAAGCAAAATGTAGTCCTTTAATAATCACTTATTACTATAAATTAGGTTTGTCTGTGGAAACGCTACGTAGTAAATAATATTGTGTCTATTTCATATCACTGACCCCTGGATTACTGACCTGATATTTACATTTTCAGATAAGTTTCTATAAATCTTATTATTTTGATGAATATACATAATATACCTATATCGGACCTCTCATGTCTTAAGAGAGATATATGAAGGAGGGGGGGGGGTCAATTCAATTCAATTTATTTATTTCATAATTCTTATATAATATACACTATAAAAACAAGCCGCTAGACACCCTAGTGGGTATAACAGAAATCATTAAAATGACAACTAGACTACATATAAAAGAAAACACTTATATTATGTTACATGTAGGTATATAAAAATGGTATTAACAATTAATCTAAGGATGTACAATGTAAAAATGTTACAAAAATCAGGTACCAGTATAAAATCAACAGTATAGTATGATATTGGTATTATACATTATCGATAGATGAGTAGTTTTTTATATGAAGATTTGAAAATATTTAGAGTGGAGCATTTTTTAATATCATGTGGTAGAGCATTCCAAAGATTAGGACCCAGATAGCGAAGGGAAAGTTTAGAGCATTTAGGGATATGAAAATAATGCAATTGTCTTGTGTAATGATGATGAATATTAATGTTGATATCAAACAAGTCTTGAAATAGATTTTTTGGAAGACTGGGGTGCTTATTAAAGATTTTGTACATGATTAAGAGAGACTGTACTGACCAGTACAATATCTGTTGACATCAAAAATATTTAATATTCTAAGATCTTTAAATAGGGGAGCGGAGTGAGAAAGTCTATCCTTATTTAAAGCTAGCCTTAAGAATTGTTTCTGCAGTTTATGTAGACGATCATAAAATGATTTAAATGTGTTACCCCAGATTATGTTGCAATAATTTAATTGAGAGTGTATCAATGAGTAGTAAATTGTTTTGAAACTGTCTATTTGAAGTAGATGTTTAATGTGATAAAGAGAACCAATGACGCGAGAAATCTTTGTTTCAACAGATTTTATGTGCTCTTTAAATTTCAAGTTTTTATCAATAATAATTCCAAGAAAGTCAATTTTTTCCCGGAAATTTATGTTCTCATTGCGTATTTTAAGATTCAGATTTGTTTGATTTTTTTGGGGTCCAAATAGAATAGCATTGGTTTTGCCAATATTAAGTGAAAGTTTGTTTGCTTTTATCCAGTCATCTATTGAATTCAAGTTTGCATTAGTTCTAGTCATAAGTTCATTTAAATCATAATCACTATCAAGAAGATTGGTGTCATCAGCAAACATAATAAATTTTAGATTAGGGGCAACAAAAGGCAGATCATTTATGTAAAGAATAAATAATAGTGGTCCAAGTACCGAGCCCTGCGGAACACCACAATTTAGAGATGATTGTTTAGATTCATAATTGTTAATGGTGACATATTGTTTGCGGTCTTTTAAATAACTTTCAAACCAGGACTTAGCTATTCCTCTGATGCCATAATATTCAAGTTTTTGTATCAAAATGTCATGATTTATTGTGTCAAAGGCCTTGGAAAAATCTAATGTTATGCCAATGCTCGTTTTCCCCAAATCAGTTGATTTTCGAATTTGTTCAATGAAATATAAAATGGCCATGTAGGTAGAGTTGAATTTCAGAAATCCAAATTGATAAGTAAAAATAATTTCAAAACGTTCTAAAAAACCAGTGAGTTTGGCGTGCATGAGCTTTTCTAACAATTTAGAAAATACAGATAAAACTGAAATTGGTCTATAGTTCGAAGGATTTGTAGTGACACCTTTTTTAAATACAGGTGTTACTTTGGCCAATTTTAGGGCGTCTGGGAAAATACCAGATTTAAAAGATAAGTTAAATATATACAAGAGTGGATCAATTAAAAACTGTCTTGCAGACTTAATAAGTGATGGTAGAATCCCATCAGGTCCAGGCGAGGAAGATTTTAGAAGACACATTTCTAATTCAAGCTCAGTTTTTGAGGTCTTTTTGAGATAAATAGATGATTGAACTTTTTGAGCTCTTGCTAGGTATTCATTAAAGCATTTTTTGGATTTTGGAATCTCCTTGGCTAGATTTTTACCAATATTGGTAAAAAAATTATTAAATCCATTGGAAATGATTTCATGATCTGTTGTTTCCTTTCCATTTATAGTGAATTTAGATGGCAATGCAGCTTTTTTGTTTTTTCCAAGTAGTTCATTAATGATAGACCAAGACTTTTTAATGTTACCACTTACTTCGGCAAACTTATTTTGATAATGTGTACGTTTTGAGTATTTAATTATGTGCTTAAGTTTATGATTATCAGCATTATGGTCAGTAATTCATTTGATTTGTCAGGGCACATTATCTTACCAGGTCAAATTAGCCGATAATGAATCTCGACCCCAATGAAAATGCATGTAGAGGTGAACTTATATTTTCCAGAAGTGGGACCTCGCTTTGAGCTGTTTGAAGCTGCCTATTTTTCAAGAAAAAAATAATATATAAAATTCATCGTTGTTACCATAAATATTTCGATCCTATTATTTTAAGAAAACAATTTACAAGGAATGCTTAAGAAGTGCAAGATAGATACTACTTAGGATTAACCTGTGTTAATCCGGGGCAGACTAGACCTGTAAATAATAAAACTTAAAATAATACTTAAATGTGAGTTTAGTATGCACTCAAGAATAGAAAACAGTTAAAAGTACTTTTCACTTTATTTACCTGCCGGCTATTTTCTTACCAGCTGATGAGAATATTTAAATGCCAGTTGTTACGGCTATGACATCACATTTAAGTAATTAGCCTTCGAGCACATGTCTGAGGTTTCAAAATATTCTTAGATAGCTGAAGCCCCTACAGTTAAACAGTCCGTTTAATGAAATTAGTTTTTCTTAATT